CTCTTGCTATTTTGTGAGTCCACGCACATACGCGTGTGAGCGGCTGCCTGCGCCGGCCTCCGGACGACCTGCCGAGGGTCAGCCGTCGTTGTTCGGCCATACATCTGGCTTGGCTTTGCTCGTCTACGAGCACAGCTGCATTCGCATATTGAAGTGCCATGCAGAGAATAAGTGAAAGGCCTAACCACCGGATCTCTGCTCAAAGCGGGCGGGCAGAACTGATTCGATTGTCGCATTCAGGCATCGATGACTGATGCAGAAGGCCCAATCGGTGGGTTGGATGTTTGCGGTCTTGATAGGGACGGGTAAGTGATGGGCAAGGCTAAGATGGCGGGCCAAGGCGAGTGAGACACTGGCCAACGAGACAGCCCTGAAGATCATTTTCCATGTCCAACACGGCTGGAAAAGTCTAGGTATTGGAAAGGGGGTATGGTGGCACGATAAGTAAGCTGATGGGTGGCAGAAGAAGAAAATTGTGCAAGGGAGGTGCGAATAAATAAATAAATAAAAAGACAAAAAGATAAAAAGGAGAAAAAGGGAAATGAAGCAACCGCCTTGCCAGGTTTCTTGGATTGAGGGATCGGATCAGATCCAATCCCGCCCGCATGCCCAAAGATTTGAATCGTGGCTGCAAGAGATAGGATGACTTGGATCTCGATATAGGCAAATAGCCAAGAAGGAGTCGAATCATGTCGCGTAGCAAATGAATGGCATGATGTTTGACCGGAGTTCGGTTTTCATTGGTCGATGGGCAGTTCGTTTCGAGGGCTTCTTTGCACAAGCTTTTAGATGTTATGTGCTGCGTAAGAGAAAGTGGTTAGGAGTGCTGAAAGCGGGAGAGGCGCCGAGGTGACGGACGAAATCCGGTTGAAAACGGTGCGTTGTATCCCGTACTAGTTTCTCGAAGACTATCCTAGCGGAAGGTTGAAGTCCTATTGGACCGAGCAAGCGAGCGAGCGAGCTGAACGGGGGGGTAAAGACGGTTTGGCGGGCAATGGTGGCCAAGAGATGGGATAGGACGGAGGGCAAGACATGAGACCGCACGCCAGGACCAGCTCCGTTGGAGATGGAGATGTATGAGGGTACCCTCCGTTAGCCTATCTGTCTCGTCGATGAAAGCAAATGGCATAGGCCGGCAGGGGGGAACAGCGACGGTCGGGAGCTTCTGCAGGGTGGTGGAGGCGGACGGGCATACAGCAGCACAGCACAACTGGCTTGTCTGGGGTCGGAGGAGGCCGATAGGAGCTGTTGCGGAGTATTGCAGGAGACTGACTGTTCGGCCAAGCATACGTACGTACTTGTATATTCGTGTTGGAGGACTCAAGGGCACGACGGATCAGACGTGCCGTCGAGGCTAGATGAAAGTCCAGACCAGGCATTAGGCCAGCTATCCGGTGGCAAGACGGATCTTCACCTCGCACCCTCAGTATCTGGCCGGAGTTAAGGGCCGAGAATGGGATGAGGCAGAGGCCAGCGACAGCCTTCCGTTAGTGCCGAGCACGTCCTCCCCCCCCCATGAATCGATCGTCGACTCAGGGCCACGGTTAGTAGCAAGCAGCCTGCCGCTGGCCCGGGGCAGGTTGTCACACTCGAGGTCGACCAGGTTCGTATACATGGATACAACAGGAGCGTGACGGAGCAATGCGGGGAGAAACGCAACTGGGTATGTCGGTGAGCGGAATAGAATGGAAGGGGAGGGATCGCTCGCTGGTGTCTGATAGCGGTCGCAGGTGTTGACAGTGCCAGCGATGTTGTTTGTGCGGGCGGGTGCTGATAAGGAAGTTGTATTACGCATAAAAAGGACGGACGCATAATACGGCACAGGCGGTTTGTGCCCGTGCATGACCGGGCAAGACCTTCCCCAGAGTCGGCTCTAGCGTCACCAGGTCGGCTTACATAAGGGTGGGTCTGCTCTTGATCCATCGCAGAAGCAGTCCCGAGGTTCTCATTGGCTGCAGCTGATGGGCCGAATGCTCTCGCTGCTCTGGCGGCCATGGCCTGCGGAGGGCCTTGACCGGGTCAGCCGGGCACGAACACGGCGTGTCCTTGCTGAGGAGTCTTGGACTTGTGCTGGGCCCGGTTCCAAATGCCCACTATTATGACGGGCTCTGGCAAAGCCGAAGGGACCACTCGAGTGTGACGGGCAGATCAGTGTGTCACTGTTACTGTCACTGGAGGCAATGATTTCCGCCGGCACTGCACTGCACTGCACTGGCTGCTTCTCTCTCGAAATTTGAAAAAAAAAAAAAAAAAAGGCAAGGCTCTGTGGTTGTAACACGGCCAAAAGCCGAATAATGAATGCCCCCAAAACCTGGAACGGTTTATGTCAATCCTCGTAGCCATCGCACTGCCCCGGTTCATGGGGCACGTAGCGACAATATTTCCAGCAGTGCAGGGGGGAGCAGTCGAGCGCGTGACTTGGAAACGGGACCGCGGGACGGACTCACACTGAGAGAGAGAGAGAGAGAGAGAGAGATAATGAGAGGTGACAGATTGGAAGAGGTCGGACTGAGCGAAGAGACAGAGTGAGAGAGTGTGAGTGACTGACCCCCGTGGACTCCATTACCCCGTGTTGGCGACCCCCAAATTCCATGTCACCCCAATCTCAAAGCCCGAACATGTGCTGCGGGTGTAAGGTAACGTTGACCAGTTACGACTCGTCACTTCACGCAGTCCCCGAAAGTCTACGGATACGTGTGCGACTCTAGAGGCTCGGTTGGATTCCTTATCAGTGACTTCCACGGGTGTTCCTTCCCTCGATCTTTCGTCCAGGGATGGGGCCTGTGCATGTGCGCCTGCCTCTGCCTCCACCACTACCAGTGCCTGTCCGTTGTTGCATCCTACCTATACTGGTAATCGATTGCTTGGGAAGGAAGTAGGTAGCTCCCCAATCGGGCAGGCAGGTGAGCGAGCAAGTAAGCAAGCAAAGAGGAAGGAAGGAAACAGTAGGGCCAGTCAGCTCACTCGCAACTGACTGCCTTGGCAACAGCGAGAGCAAGAGAGAGAGAGAGAGACCGAGATAGGTCAAGAACGAGGCCGCCCTCCCTTCCTTCGTCGCCCCCTTGTCTCTAGTCAGTCGACAGTTCGCTGGTGCCCTGTGCTTAGGTTGGTTGTACGGGATATATCGTCTCTTTCACCGGCTGAGGTGGCCCCGACACCACCATCACCAAACACACACACACACACACACACACACACACACACACACACTACAGAGGGAGGTTGAGGTTGAGAGGGAGGAGGGAGGGAGAGACAGAGACAGAGAGAGAGAGAGAGAGAGAGAGAGAGAGGTAGGGAGAGAGTCCTTATCTCTCCTGCCTCCATCTCGGCCCCCGTCCCGTCCCGTATCAGCATCAGTGCTCCCTCACCCCCTCCCCCCCCCCATCCGTATCTACCGGCCTTCCATGTGTTCTCTCGGCTGCCTTGATGAGGTGTCATGTTGGTGTATTAATCAGTTGACGCCGAAGCCTTGATTTAATTGTATGTGGGTGTGAGTGCGTGTGGTAGTTTTTGTTTCAATCTCCTTGCCCATCATCCAAAACCAAGAGCCTCCTCTCCCATCTCCAGGCCCTCGATTTTCTTCCCTGTGCTGCCTCTTTTCTCCGTGCTGCATCGCGCCTCTGAACTCGGCCACCCTTCGAACTCGCAACTCCCGGCTTTCGGTTCCTGTCGTCATCCTCGTCGCACCAAGGCAGGCACAGCGCGCTAAGTACCTGCTGCCTGTGACTCTGTGCACCGCGCTCATCATATTGCCTCCCGCATCCCCTCTCCGCCGCCGACGACAATACCTATTGATAATACCTTGAATCCGGACCGTTGCGAACGAACTCCAGGACCAAAGTCTCAATCATTTATACCTAGTACCAATAATTGCCGAGTCTCGAATTCACACTTGTGACGGGCCTCGATCCTGCGATAGCCAAGCGCCGCAGCCAGCCTCGTCCTAACCACCGCCAGCTTCTCCTTGTGTCACCTTATCGCGGCTGCAGCAGCACACCGTCTCTCCGCAACCCAGCATCGTCATCCCTAAACTTCGAACAACCAAACCGACTCATTCCCGCTCTCCACAACTTTACGCAGACCGCACCCACTCCAGAGCCCGGCTCTACGTACACAGTACGCACAAGACACCGCGCTCTCGCTCAATCCGCAAGGACGCCGGCGGTATTCCCATCACCTGCTTCCTCGTTTCTGCATCTCTCTCGATCCAACGGACTCGACCTCGACCTGCAGCTCCCAACAAAAAAAGAAAAAGCCCGATTCGGATTCCTTGCGGAACCGCGCATCGCACCCGCACCGCATACTAGTTTAGCACACGATACAAGCCTTAGGACCCGTGCTCCCCTGCGTCACCTTCCCAGCAACCATTGCCCTTCAAAGTTCCTCCGCGGTTCCTGGTCGGGCTGTTTGCAAAACCTCGACGCTGATTAGCCGTTGCATCGTTAACTTTACGTGACCAAAACATACGGGACCCCTGCCCCCGGCACGCGACACAAGCAGCTGCGGAAGGAGGAACAGGAAAAAAGCCAAAGGCCAGACGAGCACGTCCGTTCCTCCAAGTCCACCGCGCCGAAAACTGGTCGAACTGGTCCCCTAATCGTGCGTTGTCCTTCTCCACGAGCAGAGCAGGACAATCCGCCACGCCCAAACGCCCACACGCCCCAAGCCAATTTCCAAAGGTCTCCAACTCCACTGGTCGGCCAGTGGCATCTCACTGTCTGTCCCTAGCTTGCGCCGCCGCCGCCGACGGTTTATACTAGGGCCCACTTGCTTCTGCCCTGCCAGTTCCAGTCGCCCACACGCCCCCCCCCCGAAGTCATACTTGCAAATCCCGGCTCCACAGCACCCTGCCCTGCACTGCGGCCCCAAAGTTGCTTGTGCGCAGTTGTGCCTGGTCTGGTTCCTTTCCACACCCCTTCCCTGTCAACCTGTCTTGCTTGTCGGGCCTGGCTTGCCCCGCCGAGCCACTGGCGCACCAAGGGGCATGTCCAGACGCTGCCATGATGTCCCCAAGGAGTTTCCTTTACTACAATAGGCAGCCCTCGGCCTTGACCACACCTTCATCACCCCCTCCCTTCTCATCGTCCCTCACGCCCAAACCGACCAGCAACAGCAGCTACGACACCAGTTCCAGCTCGACTCCCGCCAAGACGACGACAACCACCCCGACCAACTCTTCTTTCAGAACGGCTCTGCCTTCTGCCCTGCCGGATCGGAAAAAGGATGCCCAGAACGTCTCCGTCACCGTCAAAACTATCCTTGCTACTCCCACTGCCACCTCAGCTACCATGGCCAAAAGGAAGGATGCTCGTCGCGAAACGTCTAAGCTGGCGCCTTCGAGCCCTCCCCGGACAACCACCAGCGTAACCACCCGGCCGACCACGCCCACCACGCCGGTTCAGATTCCTTCCAAGACCAAGTCGAATACGTTTCACGCCTCTCATCGCCATGCTCAACGGAAGCCCCCCCGCCCAAGGGATGTGCACTCGCCAGATGCCGTCCCCCCTGCTATGCTGGCTCTGCTGGCCGTCACCGACATCCCCAGGCCCCGCCGAAGCTTGAGGCAGAGGCTGGCCAGAGACCAGGCCATGACCCTTGAGGCTGTCATTGAGAGACAGCAAGTGTGCGAAAAGGAGCTGAGCCTCACCTTCGGGAGCAAGAGCCCCATGGACTTGTTGCTCTCGCCCCCCGACGACCTGACCGACGACGACATGTCCATCAGCGATGGCGGTCTCGGTTCCGTTCTCTCTACTAGAACAGTGTCGATGGAGTCGGTGCCCTCCTTGGGTGATTCCTTCTCGACTGACACCTTATCGTCCGTCGGCTCGCCTTACGGATCCAGCCCGCGAAGGAAGCGGTCTCGCCAGCCCCGGCGCTCTCTGGAGCCCGTCTCGTCCCCTCCCGGTCAGCCCGAGGACCACCCGTTGTCTCGCGACCGGACCGACATGGACGATGTCGACTTCGGAGTCTTTGACGAATCCCAGGACGAGGAAGACACCAAGTCGGAGTTCTCCTTTTCCGACTACTCGTTCCCTCTCCGCCCCCTCAAGTCGGCCTTCAAGTCCAACCTGACTGCATCACTGCGCGCACTGCGCTCGGCTGCGCGGTCCATTTCGGCCATCAACTTCTCGTCGATTCCGCCCGACGACTTCCTCACCAGGTCCATTCTCACAATCGACCCCAAGGTGCCGTACACGGATGAGCGCCGACCGCCGGTACTGGAAGAGGAGCCGTCTGCCGCATTGCGTCGATACCTGAACCCCACGACCAACGCTCGGATTGAGCCCCACTCGACCACGGCCACGCCTGCCGGAACGCGAAGCTTTACTGCCTCGATCCAGATGCAGACGTACAAGGTACAGCGAAGCCGCAGCGCACCGCCCACATCAGCCCGGGGCCCCTCTCCGACGACATCGGCGGGCATGACTCAGTCAACACCTTATCAGCCACCAGCCCAAACTCCAAACCAGACAGCATTTACGTATCCCCCTGGAGGCATGCGGCAGCGGGAGATGCGGGAGAACTCGGACTTTATTCGCATCGCCGTCATGGAGATGGCCATGCGGAAGCAGGGCAAGCTCGACGACCAACGACCGGGCCGCGCCCGCTGGGCTTTGCCCCCACGAAAAGGCAGCGTACGGGCTTACGAAGTCGGCCCCGACGGCGTCCCGGCGCGCTGGATCCCGGTGTCTCAGTCGTGAAGTCAACATTTAGGTTAGCCTGGTGTTGGACTGCACACTTGCGGCCGAGGGGTCCTTCCAAGGCGACAAGTTAGACGATACGATTATCCAACGAAGCAGCAGTGCCCGCCGAAGTCGCAGCAGCGTCGCAAGCACTCCGCGACCCGAGCACGTCACAATCCTACGGGGCTCGAAAGTCGCGTGGCCGGCGACAAGCTTGTTTTTTTCGTTGTTGTGCCATGGTTCCTCCTCCTCCCCCCTTCGGCCTGCGACCGACAGTGCAACACTGTGATTGTGTTGTCCGCGGAGAAGTCAGAAGAAGGGAGGTGAGGGGGGTCTGGGGTCTGCGCATTATGTGCGGGTGGCCCTGATTGCACCGTGGCTGCCGGGGTAGAATCGTCATTCAGCAAGGCATACACACACACACCCCCAAGACACCAACCTACGGGGAAGCGTTTGGACCCGCACTTTCACATTCCTAAGCGACCAGGGGCCCGACGTTTAAGTGCCTGCCTTATCCGTTACCGCGGAATGGTCAGCATCATCGCGCGTCTGGCTTTGCGGTCCTCTGCCGAGTGAGGGTTCCATTTTCTGCCCGAATAGTCGAAATTGCTCGAACTAGCAGACCGGCACCGAGCCAAGACCGCCCGTGGTTCCTTGTTTTTTTCTTTTTTTTTTCTCACCTCGGTCTACCGCGCTTCTAGAACGAGTAGGCCTGCGGGCCTTTTCCCACGCTCTTACCTTACCGTTTGGTAATAGCTCAGAGGACCTTTTGCATTTCGCCCACCGCCTGCACCGGTTTTTTTTTTTTTTCTTGTTTGAAATTGAGCCGAGTAGCAGCAGCACTTTTGCGATCTGAGCGGGTCGGGACCACCTGCTTCATTTGTCAATTTTTCTAGAACCGAGCATCATCTACGGAGCCGAAGTGAGGATGGCCAACCGCGCCGTCAGTCATTTTCGAATTATTTGAAACAGGAGAGCGGAGCAATCCAACGAAAAACGGGAGGAGAGGCGAGATGCGAGATGCGTTGGCAGGATTCCCCGGCCACCCACGCACGACGAGAGCAAATGGGGCGGACACACGTCCAACACGCATCGCGCGCACGCGCACACACATACATCGCCAAGCGTTCATACCGTACACACGCGACTGCTGGCCTCACGGCCCGGTTCCGAGGACGTGGTCCGATGCCACCGACATGCGACGACGAACTCGTATCACCACGACGAGCGTGGGAGATGCAAAGCCAAGCCCTGCCGACATGTTCTCCTGCCACTCAAAGGACCCGGAGCTCATTACGCGGCAGTTTTGATTTCTTTTTTATCTGCTTCGACACCACATGCATAGCGAGGATGATGAGCATTTGAGGGCGCATGCACAGGATTTTGGGTCTTTTTTTTTTTTTTTTGTCATTGTTTTCATCTTTTACACCATCCACCTCGCCATCTTCGGTCCTTTCTTTCGACTCCACACTCGACCAATCGGCAGACGCTTCAAAGCCCGGGTCTCTGAGGCGAGACTCATGGGTGGTTCGAATCCACTCGGGAATAAGAATCCACACTTGACACACGGCAAGGACTGGGAGTGTGCAGCCTGCGGGGACTTTTTTCCATCGGTCCCAGCTCCTTTAGGTGCTCCCCACGCCTTGGTAGAGTTTGACTCGGTTCTCGCATGTGAAATGCAGGCCGAGTTGTGACGCCAAAATGAGCAAACGGAGACGATAGCGGTACGAGTCAGGCAGCTGGGCACACATCAGAAAGAGGAGGAGGACAGGGCATGGGTAACAAATTTCCTTTTGAGATGTCTCTCTATCTCTGCATGCCGAATGCACGAGACTTGGGACGACACATGAAGGTTGGAGTTTTTATGGAGTTTGGTTTTCTTGTTCCCCTTTTGTTCGGGAAGGTGATTGCACCGCACGGTTGATTGTGTTGGGGCGCAGTGGCAGCAAGAGCAGCATTAGCAGGAGTACAAGCATGGGAATCAGGCAATGCGACAATGGAATGCGCATGGAAGGATCAGAGGGGGAGCGCTACAGGCGCGCACAGCATACTATGTTGATTTTAGTTGCATACCAAAAATCCCATCCATATATTTGACAATGATATCCTCATATGCATTCATCTACCCACTACACTATTTCGGCGACAGCGGCGACGACGCAAGGTGCTTGGTTGTGGTTGGGTGGGAGTGAGGAGTCGAAACTCTATCAAGCAGGGTGCTGCTTGCTCAAACGTGGGGTGGTGAAAAGCAACTGATGCATGGAGGCCTAACCCATTGCTCACTTGTCTATGTTTTGTTTTTTTGTTTTTTTTTTCTGGAGCAACCGACACCACACATCGCACCCAACCTCCGACAACGACAGACCGCCCATCGCCCACCGCCCATGGCCTATCTATGCAAGCGCATAACTATGGCTCGCCAATGCTCTGATGGATAGCTGGCAGGCAGAGTGAACTGGCGGTCACGCATTTACGGAGGGAGGGGGGGTCCGGTTGAGATGCGGGCCGTCATTCACCGCATCAAACGCGGCCAAGCCGAAGACGTGTGTGGTCCTTATCTCGCTCTCTCTCCCTCTCTCTCTCTCTCTCTCTCTCCCTCCCTCTCTCTTGCCCGGTTTGGGACCGGGACAGGCACAGACAGACACAGAGAGAGTGGCCTAACCCCCATCATCTGCTTTATGGCAGGTCATCTGTCTCCGAGTTGCCGAACAGAGACCGGCAAGACTCGGAGGAAGACCCCCCCACGCACACCCCCATAAGCCATTGGGATATAACGAGTGGGCACGATACACGATTCCTGCGCTCGTCTTCCTCCGAAAGGGGGGGGCCACGCCTCGGCACTTGACAGCAACGACGACAAGCGGCGGGTCCACGGATAGGGCTCCAGAGTCTCTCTCTCTCTCTCTCTCTCTCTCTCTCTCTCTCTCTCTCTCTCTCTCTCTCTCTCTCTCTCTCTCTCTCTGCACGAACGAAATGGCTCCCTTGTTCTCTCTCTCTCTCTCTTTCTCTGCCTCTCTTCGTGGGATTTTGTTCCAGTTACGGGGTCGTTGCGTATGTGTTTGCCACCTCTTTGCAACCCCCCCTGGTGGTGCCAAATCGCCGGGATCCGCTCGGGACGTAGCGCGCTCAAGCGATCGTGCGCCCGCTTGCACATGGCAGCTTGTGGCGACGGGTGTGGCGCTCGTTCGAGGGGAAGGGGAGAAGGGGGGGGGCGCGCACACGCGCTTTTGCCGGCAAAGTCCCTGCGACTCATGTCTTTTTGTGCTATTTTTCGAACCTCACGATGTCGAGTTTTCGATTATTATTATTTTTTATATTTTCTTTTTGGTGTCTGCATTTTGCTATGGATAAAAATGTGTGTGTGGAGATGGGGAGGGGGGGGGTTAGAGGGGGCGTGCGTGGGCGGTTGATTTAAGGGTCCTTCTGGGCGGTTTCTTCATTATTATCATTATTATTTTTGCCAGGACAGTGACTCCGTGAGAGAAAGCCCTTCCCATGTTGCAGCAGCACTCACTCACTCGTCACCCCGGCAGGATAGTGTACAAAAAGTGCACTACAGTTGTGCAGGAGTGTAACCGATCACCGTTGAGGGAGGAGAGGAGCCCTGCCCTAATTGATCCTTGAAGGGGGGGGGCGTGAGGACAGTAAGTTTTGGGAGGTGTCGCTCGACATAACACAGCGTTGCAGGGATCACGGGTGTTCCCTCCAAGACTGCAAATTCCTTCCAATGGCTGGAGCCGAAACGGCCTTCTAGAAGGAGGCTAGACTGGAGAACGCTTGTCGATCCCTCAGCCTGAGGGGGAGGTGGATTTCTTTACATTAGCACCTACTGCTACTGTAGGTATACACAGCACGCATTCCCCCCAGTCTCGTTTGAGAAGGAGGACGAGATGGGGCGGGGGGCCAGGGGTGGAAGGGGGGGACGTCTCGGTATGTCCAGTTTGTTTTTGGAAGGTGGTTGGGGGATAAAACGAGAAAAGATGAGAGGGAAGGAGAGCCACCGCCCGATGCGCGAAAGAGAGAAAAAAATAAGGGATCTTTTGGTTGAGGGGTGGAGACGGTAAAGAACCTACTTTCGGTGCCGAGGCACAAGGTTGGTAGGTAGTTTGACCGTACGACGTGTTCCGCCAACGAGACGTACGAGACATGATACGACGCCGGGCCAGACCGTGGATGGATGGGGGTGGCCGCTTTGTCTACGGGATTGCGCAGAAACGCTAGACATGTACGTAGGGTGCGGACGAGCGAGATCTACGATGAGCACGACAGTTATGGATAGCACAGGGGGGTTTGAGCGGCCGCACAAAGAGTTTGATAGCTGGGGCGGGGAGGAGGAGAGGGATAATGTAGCATGTTGTAAATATTAGAGTTTCGGTTGCTAGTCAGGTACCTTGCGCCTCCTAGGTTGTCCTATCTACCTTTATTTAGGTGTCTCTGAGAGCGGATGTCGTCGGTCGGTGTGGCCGGTGAGCGGTGGGCGACGAGCGGTGAAGGGAGGCAGAAGGCGGCACGGGTGCGGCTGAGGTTGGTCGCCGGGGATCGCCGCCGGGGAAAGGGGGGGTAGAGGAGGGAGGGGGTGGGGGGCTCACCGGCGGGATGGGGCCGGATGCGGTGGCATTCGGACGGGATGTGACGAATACGGGCACGAGGCAGGGCGAGGGCGAGGTTTGATGGGAAGATGGAACATGAGATGAATATGCAGCGAGGAAATCAGATGGCATGCACATCATTTTTTTTTTAATAGCCAGGGGAGGGGCCGGGAGGGGCTCGGGATACAACAGCATGGAGAGACGACGCCGGCTTGCGGGCGGGGGTTGCGGATGGCGTGCGGTTGCACGAGAATGATGTGTTCCATGGCGACATCGTGGTGTCTTTGGGGTCACGGGGGTATTTATAGAGAGGGCATGTCCCCCCCTTCTCCCCCTTCGGTTTTACGGAGGTGGGGGGGCTAGAGACGATTCTGCCGCTTTCTTCGTGACGAATTGCAATACAAGAAGATAAAAACAAGTTCGTTTTCTTCGTACTTGGGTCGGAATATCGGTTTGCTGCGGCCGGGGGGTCTGTATGTCATGTCTGGCATGGACGGGGAGGTTGAGGGAGGACGCTCCGACGGGTGTCGACATGTGATTACCAAGGCAGGGACGGCGGCCTGGGACGAAACGACGACATATATATATCACGCCAACGGTTTCGGGATCGGACTCGACGATGAAAAGGCGCTCGACAAGATATGCGTTCCGAAGGGAAGTGGGTTTGGGAATAGGGACAAGGCTGAGCGGGATCGAAGGGGACGGTTCTCTCTCTCTCTCTCTCTTATCTTGGGAACCACGCCCGACGTGTACGAATGCCCCTGGTGATTCCCTCGTCATCCACCTCGCAATCGACGCCCGTCTCTCCACTGTGTGAGGTGGATGTCGTCTTCTGTCCGCGGAATTTCCAACAAAAGGGGAAAGGGGGGAATGATGTTATTGTCGTGAGACCCTAAAGAAGATTGGGCACGATGGGGTGCGGGTCAACGAATGCTTCCGAGACTCGGGGAGATTCACACGAGGGATGTCCATCCGCGTCAACTTACACGACGAGTTCGCCGAGGATTGAGCGGCATAAGTGTACAACACCCCCTCTAGTGTTCAGCACCCTTTGTTATGGACGATCCCCAGCTGAAGAGAACCCCTCCCCCCCCTTCCCGATGCCATGGTCGTCTTGATGGAGATTCTTCCCTTGAATGGGGCTTGAGTTGACGTCTGTGCCAGGAGAACTTGGGTTGTGCCATCGCCAGTCCCCCGCCCTGTCAGCTTCTCTTCGACCCCGTCGCAGACCGAACTCGGACAATGTACGAAAGCCGTGTCCTGGGGAAAGACACGGTCTGGGGTGAGCATCTGAACCAGGAGGGAGATGGGCGAACGGGACTCTCGGGGGCGACTGAGCCGCCGTCGAGCTGGAGACCGTTGACAAAAACGACGGCTTGACGGGGCTGCGAATCGGATCCCCGGGTGACGGTGGGAACTTGCCGCTCTAGATCTTGCCCCTTCCCGGGACACACTACAGCAACCTTGGACTCTGGGCCGTTAACGAGAAGGAAGCGGTTAGCCCGCCTTTTGCTTCCAGTATCCCGTCGTTAGGGGAGCTGGTGGTCTGGCACCAGTTTCCTGCTGACTCGTTCTGGAAGGCGAAGGGGTTGTGTGCCGTGTTCCGGGACAGCGCGAGCCCGCCTCCAGCCCTGGGCGCCCATGGGCTTCACGATTAGACCCCTCTGTTCTCGCAGTTGGGTCGCGGGCTTGCCTCCTCTCAGCCTTTCTGTGCTCGACTCCTCTTGCGAACTTTTGGCTTGCTGCAGATCTGGACGGGTCTGTCGGTCCATTGGCGTCCCAGACTGACCCATGGGGCGTCGTTGCATATGCACGATGCGCGAAAGCGTATGTAGAGGTGGAGGAACTGTCCGGCACTTCGCAGGCCAAGAAAACAAGACGAAATACATCATACCTCTCACATTGGTTCGATGCCGGCTTCACACAGACCCCCCGCCACTAGCCCTTCATCCAAAGCCTCTTCAGAAGCAGGCGTAGATGGCTACGCGCACAAGCTTTGGATCCGACACGAGATGTTACAACGGACCTGACCCCACGTGGAAGGCCGCTTGAGGTCGTAGAGGAGAACGGCAAAGACTGTCTCCTCATGGAACTTCAGCCGGCGGGGCCTGATATGATGGCGCGCGTCCTGGCCTCCTGTGCGTTACGGACCAGGGAGGGAGGAAAGCAGAGACCGCGGTGCGTGTGGTAGTGGTAAAGCTGTCTATACATTGTGGTTCATGCAACGGTTCGAATGGGCGATCTGGTAGTAACCACGAGGCATTTAACCCTGGATAGAAAATATTTCGACTCCTTTGCTAGTCGGGGTCGAGCTGCGTAACTGTGTGTTGTCTGCCAACAAGAAGTTCTACGTCCGAAGACACGGGCTGACTGCGAGATCATACGAGAGATTACGGCTTTGGCCTTATCCAATCCAGCATATATGCAAGAACGCACGGATTGGAGTCAAGGATGTTTTGCCTGACGTCTCTTGTTACGAGGGTCCCAAAGGATACTCCTGTTAAGAAACAGTGTCACGGAGAGGCAAGAATTCCGTCATTGCCTGCACCGTACCGTGCCCGAGTTGCTCGACTGCCGATTCCCAAAGAGAGCTTGTGAATGCCTGGCTGGTGTGATTGTGATGGATGCAGGGCTCTCCAGCAGGCCAGTATTCGTGATGCAGTACAGGAATATGGCTGCCACGGAACGCCACTCTGCAAAAAGAAAAAAAAAAATAAACAAAAAAAAAACCAGACCGTTGCCGAGAAGAGAACTCCATGACCGCTGAGCTCAGTCGCTGGTCCGCTGTAGGCCTGCCCCCGAGGCCACGAGCTCGACTCTCAAGGAACTAAAGGCCGCCAAAGTCTCGAGCAGATGAGTATCCCAGGGTGCGGTCTGGGCCTAGCTGACGTACATCCTAAACACGTGCTTGCTGTACACCACGAACGAACCCCAGCATCAGCCATGGCACATAATCCGGGACGTCTACACGACGCATTGCGGGGAAAAGAACCTGGCCACCTTACCTCGGCACGCGGCAATGTAGCATTAGGTCTGACCATGTAGTTGAGGAGGCACCTAGCCACCTGCGGACATGCCATCTCAACATGATGATGGAAAGCTTCTCGTCTGAAATCCACGTCATCGGACCGTCTGGGGAGGCAGCTTTGTGATAAAAGGATTATGACGAGGCTCTGTCCTATGAGTTGGACCGGGCAGTCCAATCGTGAGCAAAGCTAGGCGGCACCATCCTTTTGGGAATTTGAGGACGAGAGCTCAAATCCGGGAGCAACATCAGTCAGCCAAGCATCAGAGGTGCGGCTCAAAATCGTGTCGTCATTTCAGGGCCAACGCCCTCCCTATCCTCTGAACGCCATCTATCGTGCCCACAGGGCTTCGTACAAATCCTCTGGCGAGGGCAAGTAATAATATCAACATCTCCACCTTCACAACGAATTCGCGCTCACGCCGTTAAAGATCTTCTTCTTGACATCCATCGCCACCAGTCCGGTCCGTTCCTGCGACGCCACCGTGTTGCTGTCCTTGACGAGTTTCTCAATCAACCCGTCGACCTTCCTGCCTCCCGCACCGATGGCGTTGGGCCCGGAGGCGCCGCGGGCCTGTCGTGCTACTTGTGTCGTGGCTTCCTTGATACGCGATGCGAGATCGAGCATCTGTTTGTTGCCGTAGTCGCGGTTCGTGATGAGCGGACTCTGGCTCAGCGTCTGCACCCAGTACTTGTGCCACAGCAGCTCCAGCAGGTGGGACTCGAGCGTGCTCTTGAAGTGGGACACTTCTAGGCTGTAATATTTGTTCGCGTGCGCGCCAAATTCTGCCGCTTTGGCCAGGGGCACCTCCTGCCAACCGTCGCTCGTGACGCCCCCGCTGCTGCCCTCCTTCTCCTTGATGTAGTTCTCGGGGTACGTCCGGAAGGCCCCAATCTCCACCTTTCCGGCGTTGATGGTGCGGTCGGGGTCAATGACGACAGCAAGGAAGGGCTCCTGGAACTGCTGCTGGAGGGCTTGCGTGCTGACATCGATGCCGGACAGCCAGCAGCCATAGCCCGGGTGGGAGTGGTACCATCCGACAACGTTCTCCATGCGGCCTTGTTCGCGGCACAGGCTCAGGTACTCGACCATGTACTCCTCAGCGTCGCCCTGAGCGTTTACGCGGGTCTCGGTTCCCTCGACGGGTAACCGGAAGGCGTCCGTGACAATGAAGGTGTCACCATTGACGTACCCCTGCATCAGACCCATGATCTCGAGGTTGCCGCCCGAACGGGCATGCATCACCATCTTGATGAGGGCAACGGCGCTGATACGGACGTTCTTGAAGTGATTCGGGTTGGCAGCCCAGGGCCGGGCGCTCATAGCTTCTCTCTGGGCATCGAGGTCGAGGTCATAGAGGGCGTCGCGTTTGGGGTCGACCAACTTGACGTTGTTGTCGAGCTCTGGAAGGGGCGGTCAGCAAGGGGCTCAATGCGCAACGGCCGAGGAATGGGACGAATCAACGTACCCCACGACTTGAGAGCTGTCTCCATTGTGTCTGCTCGGTTCCACGTGAGCAGGATCTGCTTACAGGAGGTGGCGATCGCGAAGATGTAGTTGAGGTTCGCGTTAAGTTGGAGACGTTGATACAGGTAGTTACCCCACCATCCAAGCGCTTGCCTGGTGATATCTTATCGATAAGACAAGAGCTATGTGTGAGATTATGTAAGCGGCCCGCCGATGGATCCGGTCGCAGAGTGGATAGCCCGGAGAGGCCACCGTGCCTTCCTGTTGTCGATTCCGGATAGAGTGCACGTCAATACTCCTTTTCCATGATCGCCATCGTTCGCTCAAGAAGCAGAACAACATGCATGGCCCCGCGGCCATTGGAATCGGATCTGACGGCAGGCACAGGAGACGTGACGTGTCGTCTTGTCATCTTTCAGCCAGACATTTCAGACCAACACAAGCAATCGGCCAGATGCAATGCAATCAACAACGCCCAAGCTCAGTTTGTTCATTTTTCTGCCAACTCAAGGTCTGGTGTGCAGATCCGCGTTACATGCTTTTAGAAGATCTGTTTGTGCGCGTTGACCTTGATCCGCCAACCTGAGACAATGAGTCTCAGAAGCCGTCGCCAAGCGGAACGAATCGACGTGGGAGAGATGGTCGCCCGTGCTGTGGTTCATCGGTCGGGACAGTCAATTGATCAGCGGGGCTGCAGGGAAAGGAGCAAGGGCAGTTGTCACCAATCGCTCGCTTTCCAAGATGATTTGCACTTCCTGGTTCACATCCCTCAGAGACGAAACGCCACGGCGCCCGGGTAGATCATGTCGACAGGCGTCTTGGCAGAGATGGAACTCGAAAGCCTCCGGTTTGCCAAGTCAAGGAGCCTCAACAACGGCCAACGTCACACTATTTCCGGATACCGGTGTTCCCAAAATAGTTTTGCGCGTAGTCGCCCGGCAGGATGGGGACCTGGTCAGACGGTCTTTTGGAAACCGACCGAACTTCCTGTATTATTCGCTCTGCTTCGAGGCTTCCTTTGCGAGCGTGAAGGCGAGAACCAGCCGGGGCACCCCGTGTTACAAGACCGCCCGAACGCTAAGGCCAGCGCGAAACACAGTTTTCGTCACAACACGAGGCGGCTGAAAAATTGCCATCTTCGGACAACATTGGGATTACGCAGTTTGACGCACGAACCTCTCACTCACACAAGACATGGCTGGGGTCACGGAATTAGCATGCACGTTCTGTGTACCGTCATTATTACTTGTTTAAAAAAATTGTATGGAAAAGAAGAAGCTGATTCTAGTTTACAGAGCAATGTCCAAACTTGCGGGACTCGAAGGCGAAGCTGAAGTGCCTCACTGTGTGAATTTCGGACGCTACCTGCAGAAGAGCAGGCGTTCGTCTCAGCCCAGGGGTATCCTGGCCAGAGGGTTAACTTGTTGGCCCCTTTGTCTGCCAAGATTGGTATCCCCTTAAGCAGCGAAGACGCTAGCCGAGAGCTCATCACGCTTGCCGCCGTTGTTGGTCTTCTTGCCACGGTGGTGAGGCTCGCGAGCCTCGATGGCAGACGACTCATCATCCTCGGCATCATCCTCATCGGCAGCATCCTCGGCATCCTGAACGGCAGACAAGTCGCGCTTGCCGCCGTTGTTGGTCTTCTTGCCACGGTGGTGGGGCTCACGGGCCTGGATGGCAGACTCATCACGCTTGCCGCCGTTGTTGGTCTTCTTGCCACGGTGGTGAGGCTCACGAGCCTCGATGGCAGACGACTCATCATCCTCGGCATCATCCTCATCGGCAGCATCCTCAGCATCCTGAACAGCAGACAAGTCGCGCTTGCCACCGTTGTTGGTCTTCTTGCCGCGGTGGTGAGGCTCGCGGGCCTCGATAGCAGACGACTCGTCACGCTTGCCGCCGTTGTTGGTCTTCTTGCCGCGGTGGTGAGGCTCGCGGGCCTCGATAGCAGACGACTCGTCACGCTTGCCGCCGTTGTTGGTCTTCTTGCCGCGGTGGTGAGGCTCACGGGCCTCTATGGCAGACGACTCATCATCCTCGACATCATCCTCATCAGCAGCGTCCTCCGCATCCTGAATGGCAGACTCGTCACGCTTGCCACCGTTGTTGGTCTTCTTGCCACGGTGGTGAGGCTCGCGGGCCTCGATAGCAGACGACTCGTCACGCTTGCCGCCGTTGTTGGTCTTCTTGCCACGGTGGTGAGGCTCGCGGGCCTCGATAGCAGACGACTCGTCACGCTTGCCGCCGTTGTTGGTCTTCTTGCCACGGTGGTGAGGCTCGCGGGCCTCGATAGCAGACGACTCGTCACGCTTGCCGCCGTTGTTGGTCTTCTTGCCACGGTGGTGAGGCTCGCGGGCCTCGATAGCAGACGACTCGTCACGCTTGCCGCCGTTGTTGGTCTTCTTGCCACGGTGGTGAGGCTCGCGGGCCTCGATAGCAGACGACTCGTCACGCTTGCCGCCGTTGTTGGTCTTCTTGCCACGGTGATGAGGCTATAAGGGGCGGGTCAGCATTGGAGCCTCTGGATGCGAGCACATTGGGGAAGGGGGTTAAGTATCTTACCTCGCGGGCCTCGATGTCAACGGCAGTGGGCGCAGCAAGAACAGGAAGTGCAAGTGCCAAGACAGGTGCCTATGTACCTCGACGTTAATATATAATGTTTCAGAGGCGAGTTGGTGATTATTAACTTACGGCGTAGCGTTGAGCAACCTGGCCCGCGGGGGTAAGAGAGAAGGAATGAGCACCTTGGACGGCAAGGATGCTCGCCAAGAGGAAGTGGCCGAAAGTAGGGTGTTGCATCTTGAAAAAAAAAAAAAGAATGGTTGACTGGCCGGCAGTAAATAACAGCAACTTAATTACCGAAAAGGGAAAGGAATGAAAAGTCGCGTCTAGCGAAATGGGGCCAATGATAGAATGGAATGTGAGAATGGTCAGTCTGTCATGAGATGTTGAGCGGATTTGAGAAGATATTATATCGTGCTCACGCGTCCATCTGTCGAGCAACGGACGACACGGCACATACCCCTTGCACACTGGGCCCTCGCCTACAACATCCCCCGTTGTGCAAGCGATGAGCATGGGGCGGCTGGTCTCCGAGTTCAGACGAGCATGCCTCGACTGGAGGGTGCCAAACCTTTGATCGGCTTGTGGTATTGGACTGGAAACGTCTCAGAATAGGGGAGGCAGACGGGAATGGGCCTGAAAGGGGGTGGAGAGGGACAGGGCCCCGGGATACGACGGCTCACGATACGCTGCTGGCTGCTCGGACTGAGGCAGAGTGGTGGTGGTGGGAGATGGGACTCGTTCCAAAGCCCTCGGACTGTTCTGTCGAAGACATTGGATGCGGGGAGTGTCTCCGTAGGTAGGTAGGGATGTGAGCCGAAAACCGCGCTTGTGGGTTTTTTGGATCCACGAGGCTTCTGCGTAGAGTGGTTGTTCGGGAGAGAGGATAGCTTATCGCCAATAAGACTTGCGGCGGCTACCTGTCTCCTGGACTCGCTTACAGTTTCAGTCTGGACTCGAGGACGGCAGGCAACGGTCTAGGGGCCAAGATGGCTTCTTCCGTTGACGAGCAGTGATCTGAGGCCAAGCTTGATCCGCGACTTGTTACGGCAGGTTGTCGCGACTGGGCAAGGCGCTAGGGGGGTGCACATCATAAAGGGGCCTCGTGATGATCCATCTCCTAAGGGAGAGAGCGGCATAAGGGATATCTGATACGGCTACAGTCCCAGGCGCCAAGACGGTGACCTATGGGACCTCGGCTGGGGGGCGCGGAATACCTAGGTAGGTGTACCTTGGGTAGTGGTTGATCGGGAGATGATGCCGGGCAGCAGGTACAACACGACAATGGGCACCCTGGAGTTGAGGCTAGGGTGCACGGCTCTCTCTCGACGGACATGGTAAATAGGAGATGACGGCTGTTTTTGGCATGTTCCTGGATCCTGATTGCTTGTTTTGGCTGAACATGGGACGGGCTCCACCGGCGGGCGATTCCCTGTTTCGTCATCCGCATGCTGTCGACATATCCCTGCTCTGAGACACCGCACCAACGATTCAGTCGCGACTTCCACTTCCACATAGCATGCCCAAAAAGGAGGAAGAAGTGGGGTGCGTGCAAGATGATTGGACCGCGGGAGAGATGGCAACCAAGGCAGGTGCCCACGGTATCCCGGACCCATGCGCTGTCAAAAAAGAAGGGAAGGCACCTATCGATTGGACGAGCCTGGGCCCCGCGCTCTGGTTCCCGCTCTCAGCTGGTGGAGGCTGAGACAGAGGCTGCATTATGTCGTCTGTTCCTCCTGCTTTGGACAAAAGGGTCGACGCCTCCATGGCCCCCACCCAGCCTGTCGCACCTTCCGCAACGACGATCAAACGACCCAAACGTTTCTGGTGGCTGGATATTGGTTCTCTCCTTGGTCGAGATCTTCGCATGGTGCAAAGGAATCCTATGCAGCAATGAGCGGTGGGCGGTAATGACGCTCTGGTGGCCAAGAGCCAACCCGTCGTTCTGGTTCATGGCCGGGCCGGGTTGCTTGCTTGCTTGCTAGTGACGGATCTGATCGCCTTTTGCTCGACAAACCGATTTTCCTCGCCCAAGCAATCTCTTCTTGGCACTCGTCTCTTCTTACCCTCAAGCAGCTGGCCTGGCGTCCTCCCTCGCTTACTACCGAAATTCCCGTGCATTCGTACTTCCGTGCTCTGCTGCCAGTCCAATCTCTCCTTCCATTTGATTGTCCGGCCACACTTGCATTCTACACAACCCTCTTCTTCATTGTTGCGTCCATCGATTGTCACTTGTCTTGTATCCATTCTATTCTCTTCTTGCTTGGCACCTGGCGTGTCTATCCAAACAACTTCGTACTTACTCGTTTGTTTGTTTCCATCTTTTTTTTCTTCTTCTTCTTCTTCTTCTTTCTTTTTTTTATTATTATTATTACCCTTCCTAATCATGCCCTCTGAAAAAGTCTACCGCTCCGTACCCTACGAGGAGGAAGAGGTCGAGAGCCTCGCCGGGAGCCTCAGCACCGAAAGCACCGACAACGTAGACGCCGCCGCCACAACAAGCCCGACATGGAAGCGCATGAGGCTCGGTGACGAGCACCCGTGCAAGGCGAAGGCCCGCCGGTTGCTGCGATACTGGCCCTGGGCAGCTCATGCGGCGCTCTTGATGACGTCCATCGGCCTCTTTGCCGCCTCGTTCAGCCTGCGCTACGGCAACACCCAAGATGACACCTTCTTCACCAAAAAGTACTCGTCGTACTGTATGTGCCTTTTCCAGAACCCGTGCCGTCGGTCCTTGACGGTCGCTAACCGCATGCAGCCCCCGCATCAGGAATTGTCAAGTACCACACCGAAAGATACAACCTGACGCCCGTCATGGACTGGTCACCTTTCGTCGGCTCTGGCTACGAGGTCGACAGAGCATGGGACCACATCACCAACAACAGTGAGCAGCGCGTGAAACAACGAAAGAATGCACCTCGTGACTAACCCGTCGCGTAGTCGGAGACCAGATGATCTCTCACGCCGAGCTCGAAAAGCTCGGTCTCGACCCCAAGTCGATCAAGATCACGAACCCCATCACGGGCGAGGAGGGATATCGCGCCGGCCTCGAAGTGTTCCACCAGCTCCACTGCCTCAACCTCTTGCGCATGGCCACCTACCCCGACTACTACTCAAGGCCAGAGGTTGGCGGCGACGTCGCTACCGACTCGGAAGACCTGAGAGGACATATCGGTATGTTGGCCACCCCGACTCACTGTCATCGAGTACCAAGACGCTCAGTCACTAACCCATCTCCCTAGACCACTGCATCGAGGCGCTGCGACTGAACCTCATGTGCCAGTCCGACATTGGCGTCTTCACCTTCAAGATGTACCCTGATCTCCCAGTCGAGGGCCACTGGCCTGACTTTAGCACGCTGCACACCTGCCGCAACTTCGACGACATCCGGAACTGGGCGCTAACCCATTCGGTGACGTTTGACGATGAGGAGTAGAGTCAATGCGTTTGTGGTGGTGGTGGTGGTGGTGGTGTGGTCTAGCCTGTCACATACTGTAGTCTATACAAGCAATTAAGGATCAATCACATGTGTATGTACGCGTATGCAGGGGGGCACTGCCCAGCAGGGGTGCATCCTGAAAGTATATCTAGAAGGGAAAAAAGGTTAAAGAATAAGGCCTCAATAGACTTTTTAACGAATACGTCAAGCACATGTATATATAGTGTGGGAAGATGAGTTAATCATCATCTTTAATTATTTAAGCTTGACACGGCAGTTTTCGCAAGGAAGACAGACAAAGTCGGATTCTATTAGGGAACACTTCGTAGTGTAGAGCGTAATCCTCTATAGAATCAAAATTAACCGGCAGCACCAACAACCAGCCAATTGGTTAGAAGACGGAATACGATCCACCAAGCCCTGATGGTCTAGCGGTATGATTCTCCCTTAGGGTTGTCTACGACGATTCGGAATGGGAGAGGTCCCAGGTTCGATCCCTGGTTAGGGCCCAACTTTTTTCATAGTTGTTCTTTTGGCATATTTCCAAAGGCAACTGATGGTCAGTCAATAGCCATGCCATGGGGCTCGGTGTGTGTGTGTGTATGTGTGTGGGAGAGCACTGACTCACTCTTGAGGCACCTCCCATGGGCATTGGCCCTGTCCCTGAAATGGAAAATTCAGGAAATGTTCTCCCACACACGCAACGTACATACACCAAGAGGTCGAACGGCCCATACCATTCCCGAAAGCTTAGTGGCCGGCCGACTCGGAAGCGGCTGTGGGACAGGTGCCGAAATCCATTGGAACACTCACTGCCCACCAACCGACAACTACCTTCCCTGGCGCATCCGGATCTTCAAGGGCGAACGTTTGGATCGCGAATCGTTTCGTTTTTGCAGAATGGGACTCTGTCTTCGACAGGCAGCCCACCTTCTTCTTCTTCTTCTTCTTTTTCATTTCCCACGCGCCAAACCCGCAGTCCCCGCAGTCCCAGAGGGGACCCAGGGAGAGGGCGGCTTTTCTCTATGATTGGAAGAGTGTCGCGTTTCGTCACCCATCCCACACGTCCTTCTACCAGCGCCGTGAGATAATGGAGAGAAGAAGGGTGAAACATATCACGGAACGTATTACAACCGAACATTACTCATTAACTCCAGACATTTTCGTGCCTCTTGGGGACAACCCGCCGGTATCTATCCATCTGCCGGCGGGTAGGTGAGGTGGGGGGGGTGGGAGGGGGTATCAACGGTTCCCAAAATCCATGCAACGCGCAAACCCATCTTTCTCTAACCCCGATCCACCTAGCTCTCCCCATCACCATGCTGGTACGGGGCGCCTTCCTTTCCCTTACGCCTCCTCGTCCTTCTTGTCGTGGTCCGCCACCACGCCCATCTTCTTGTTCATGAGCTCGTCCGGGTCGCCGGCGCCGGGGTCGAGGACCTCGAGGTTGCCGGCGGCGTCCTTGGCGCCCGTGCGGTAGCCCGAGTGGCTGCCGAAGACGTACCAGACGTAGCCCGTGAGCAGGGCCGTGACCACGAGGAAGGCGAAGATGGTCCAGTTGCCCATGCTGTACATGGGGGAGTCGGTGCCCGGGAAGAGGAAGGGGGCCGAGATGCCGCCGCAGTTTGCGATGGCGATCATGCCGCCCGTCGCGAGGGCGGTCGCCGTGGACCCCTGGACGGTCGCGGTTCGGTGCTGCGATTTTTTTCGCCCCCACGTTAGCTTCTCGGGACTTGTTTTTTTCTTCTCCCTTCTTTTTATCTTTTCTGTGTTTGGGATGCGGGTGGAGGGTTCGTCATGTCTCAACTTACAGCAACAAAGGGCAGGACGGCGGCGTTGGTGCAGGCGATGATCATGAGGCCAAAGTAGCGCACGCCCCAGTGCTTCACGACGGCCAGGAGCAGGTAGCCGGCGGCGACGAAGACGAGGGCGCCGATGGTGTGGCGCGAGCGCTCCTTGGTCCTGTCGCTGTGCAGGCAGTTGCCGATGATGACGAACATGGCGAAGACGTTGGGCGGGACGGTGAGCAGCTGGGCGCTGTAGCCCTTGAAGCCGAGCGAGGCGACGATGGTGGGGGTGAAGAAGCCGCTGGCGTTGAGCGAGTTGGTCATGAGGAAGTACATGGCGGCGAAGAGCCAGAAGTAGGGGTCGGCGACGGTCTTGCGGGCGACGGCGCCGTCCCAGTGGCTGTCGCGCATGGAGGGGGCGTAAGGGCCGAGGCGCTTGACGGCGAAGGCGCGCTCCTCGGGCGTCAGCCAGGCGGCGGTCTGGGGGTAGTCGGGCAGGTTGAACCAGACGAGGACGCCGACGAGGACGGCGGGGACGCCTTCCAGCACGAACAGCCACTGCCAGCCGACGAGGCCGCCGCGGCGGTTGAGGAAGGAGATGGCGGTGGCGAGGAGGCCGCCGAAGGCGCCGGCGACGGCGACGGAGCTGGCGAACACGGCCATGCGCGTGGCGCGCTCCTCGGGCTTGTACCAGAAGCAGAGGTACATCATGACGCCCGGGAAGAAGCCGGCCTCGGCGAGGCCGAGCATGACGCGGACGGCGAGGAGGCCGCCGTAGGTGGTGCAGGCGGCGGTGCAGATGGTGACGATGCCCCACGAGACCATGATGCGGGAGATCCACTTGGAGGGGGAGAAGTACTTGAGCATGACGTTGGAGGGGAACTCCATGAGCACGTAGGGGACGAAGAAGAGCGCGACGGCGACGTTGTACCGCTGGCCCGTGAGGTCGAGCATCTTGACGATGTTGTCCTCGGGCGTGTCGTTGTTGAGCGTGCGGGCGTTGCCGAGGTTGACGCGGTCGAGGTAGTCTTTTTTTTCCGAGGGGAGATGGTGTGTTAGTTGGCATATATATGTCCCGGGAGGGGGGGGAGGGGGATGCAAGCCGGGACGGTGGTGAGAGGCGAGACGCCCTCGGGGGGGGGGGGGGGGGGGGGGGGGGGGCAAACGTACTCAGAAGGTAGGTTATGCAGATCCAGGGGAGGATTCTGATGTCCTGCTTGCGGACGATGCGGCGTTCCATCTCCTTGTCGGCTAGGTCGACGGTCTCGAGGCCGGGCACGTCCAGGGACGGCGCCGGCGCGAACATGGCCTTCCAGTCGGGCATGTTTGCGGTCTGGCGTAATGCCTCAGGGCACGCCGGTACAGATGGCTTGCGGTTGAAGGGGAAAAGGGGGGGGTGCGAAATCGGCCGGGAGTTTTTGCTAGACTCTCCTTTCTCCCTTCTTTTTTCCTTGTCTTTACATGCTCGAACTGGAGGAGGGGGAGTTGAGGTGTTATAAGTCGAAATCCCTCCTACTCTTTCTTGCCTCTCTTCCCGGTGCGCGCCACTTTTGGGTTCCGCCCGACATGGTTCCATATGCATCACGAACCCGGGCAATGTGGAAAATCCCCATAGAATTAGCTAGTGCAAAGCGAACTGCAACCACGCGATAATCCGGTATTAGAAAAGGGTATTTGCACAGCCAAGACGCCTTTGCCTTATCTCGTTCCCTTTCTTTCTCCCTTTGGAGGGCGAATTGGGGCCTCCGATAGGAGGGCAATGTCCCCGAGCGTTCGGGGGTCTTTCTCCATCCCGCCAAATGAACCCCAAGTGAAAAAAAAGAACATTGGGTCAAGTCAATTGGTAAATGCCGGGTGGGGGAGATAACGCGCCGCCCAATCAGGCGGTCCGGGGGAGGTTCTAGATAACGACTCGGGGGGGGGTCGTGGGTTTCTGGAGCGACCCCGGAGTCGGACGGGCTCGCGCGGCGTGAAAAACCCGTCTCCCACGAGGGGGCGAGTGAGTGCGGCCTGGTGGTCTTGCTATCCGCACCGCGCATCTAGTTCTCGGGGCGGCTTGCAAAGACTTGAGAAGAAGGGGAGAATAAAGACATAATTCACTCGGCTACATGGGGCCTGTGGTGACAGAGATGCGGCATGCCGGCCAAGTGCTTGCTTGCCGCATGTTATGTTCCCGGGCCGTCAACGAGAGACATGAATAATTGATCAGGACGCGCTGCAACGGACGGGAATGGCCAACGAAGCTAAACCCTGTTCCCGGATCGCAAGGTGACCCCCTACCCCCCCGTGTCCGCCTGTCAAGACAGTAGATGGCCGAACAGGGGGGATATTATTCAGAGCCTCCGTGCGTCTCCGGAACGTGTATGGATAAGATTGTATACCTGTGGGAGGGACCGGCCTTGCACTCGTACCTCGGTGCGTCTCCGAAAGAGAATAGGAAAGGCGAGCTTGGGCGTGCATGGTGCAGATCGGCAACGGCGAGGACCACATTCTTATCGACTGTAGGTTCCCTTGCTTTTGGTCTCCTTCGCGAACATGTTCTCACCCTCCCTTCTTCTGGGGTACCGGCAGCGCTTTTCGAGTGGTTTTCTGAAGAAATATATCCCATTAGTGCAATGAGGTAAGGGGGGAAAAAATAACCTCCAAAAAACCTGTTCATCTCATCTAGCCGACGTCGAGTGCACTGACTCGTGTCACGCCGCGTCCGCTTGCGACCGATAACGGTCCTGCAGCGACTTTTGCTTTTCCACGGTGCCGTTTTGCCCACGCTCAGTTACACGAAGAAACTCACCAAGACGGGCCCCATCTACGCGTGGACTTGCCCATCGAAAAGGGGGAGGGAGGGTCTTCCGCTTCGTTGCCAGAGAGCGGGACTCGAGATCCCCCCTCCGGCAACCGGGAAAGGGAAAGCCGTTCACCTAACCCATGGCATCACGTAATAGCCGTGTTGATGGAGTGTGTATGTGTCTGTGTGTGTACTCCGTACTATGTATGTGTCTGGTGGTCAAAACTAGACCAGCCTGATGCCAAGTCCCGGCGGCGCGGGATGTGGCACGGCCTCTTCTCCGCCAGGCAGGGAAGCATATGGCACGCGCGTCACACTTGGTTCGGGTAGGTTGGCGGGAATGACATGTGCGACCTGGAACTCCGAGAACCGGAAAGAAGCATTGGCGATGGTGGTTTTACATATACGGATACATGGTGCTGGCGTGTGCGGGAGTGAACGGCGGTGGGAGCGAGATACAGACGGGCGCGCGGCCGAGGAGGGATGACGGATGGATGGATGGACATGGGACCCGCCGCCCGGCGGGCATATGTGGGCGACGCATCGCGCCGGGATGAAATGCTGCAGATTACCGGCATGCGGGTTTTTCGGAGGACATCGGTTTCGCGATGATGGGTGCTCGAGGTTTTTTCTTTCTTTTTTCTTCCTTTTTTTTTTCTTGAGGGGGTTGGTTTCCTGCTTGGTTTTCTGGCCTAGGCTTACCGTGTTCGACGAGAAGTACTCGGCATTGGCCGTTCTACCCGAGGTAAGGCAGAGTTTGTCCCGACTCGTCTTTTCTCTCGTTCTCATCCTTTTTCTTCTTCTTGTTTTTGTCCTTTCCTTTGCCAAGTCCGAAAGATTGTTGGCTGAGAACATAATGAACCTGAAATAAATCATGTTGGCTCTTACCTGTCGCGCTACGATGCATGCATTTAATTAGTAACTCTGGTGTATCAGGCTCTTCACTGTGATGATCGTGCCCTATTGGTACATTTGCTGACTCATCAGGTGTACCGTATCCTCTCATCTAATACGAAGTCCGTACAAGCCATACGCTAGTCCTATCATAGAAGGCGGTCAACCTATCTACACAAACACCCACATATGTAACCCTAACCCTTGCCACCTAACTTGCTGCTGACGTAAATGACTCCCTGCATTTGCTACATCTAGATCCCTGTTTCTGCCAGCCCGCTTACCCCTTTCCAGCAGCCTGTGGCCTGTGCGGACTTCGTATTTGATGAGAGGATACGGTATGCAGCTAGGGTCGCCACCTATCCTCTTTACGACAACTTGTCCGCTCTTGTTGGGCAGATATTGTAGGGGCTACTGGGTTTCAGTAAAAAGGTTTATGAAGGGATGATACAAGAGTTCTTTGGACGGACTCTTGGAGTTAGCTTCACTTCAAACCACTTCTATGGAAGTATGAGTGCCGCAACGACTAGCCCCGCAACCTTTCCTTGGCATCTAACAGAGTGTGTAGTGGATCCATAAGGCTGATGGGTGGATACTCTGACAGGATCGCTGCAAGAGCACGAGTCGATTAGTCCCAATTACATATGCGGTCAGCCTAGTATTAATGGCGAGCCTTGCCAGTCCAATCAGAATGTCGGAGAGATTCCGTACGTCTTTTACCTGATTAACGGGGGGCGGAGTATGGGCTGTTTCTTCGCACTAGCAGATTCCTAATGGTCACCTTTCAGCCTCAACTGCATATACATCTCTATCCATGTGACTTAGGCGAGCATAAAGAGTGGCAGGCAGTAAATACCACTCATACTTTTACTCTGGCAGCTCGCACCAATCGCGAAAAATACTAGCAGGCCACTCGGAATGCGTGCCACTCAAAAATCACTCTTGCAAGTACTGGAAGGGGTAGCAACCGCTACAAAATCCCCGCGAGTCGAGACTGCGCCGATCGAAAGCTGGATTTTATCGATCGGGTTTCTCGAGGGAACTTTCAGAGATTGGGATATCGCAGCCACTAAAAACCTGGTAGACTTTAATGGCAGAAGGACGGGCCATCTAACGAAATTGGTTCTCGCCGTAACCTATCTTCGCGAATCAATACGCACTAGTCAAGAAGTCACCACTACAGAGATTGGTCACTGCTGGGAGGCTGTACGCGATGCTATCGAAGTCTACGACTTGGACGGTGCCCCCGAAAGGTTCTTCGTGTCTGGAAGCGTACAAGGTTTCTGGACTATCGCGTTGGGCGATTTATCGGAAACCGGCCATCCGGACGAGCTTTTCGGCCTCCGTGTGTGGATACCCCACGCCAGTCCCATGGGTACGACGACTAGCTTGAGTTCACGCCCGTCGACTGCCCATAACTGGGTTCTTTCTGGAGAAGGACGGAATTATTTCCGTCAAACCGAACCAGTAAAGTATTCAGTAAAGTATTCAGCAAATGCTACTCATACCAAGGACGACTCCGCCCGGAACTGCAGCAAACCGGGAGACGATTCTCATAGCTATGTACCATTTCAAGAGCATCCCAATCTCAACGACACTGACCGGCGTGTCCGGGTGCAACAAGCTAAACAGGAGACATATACAAGGAACTCGTTCTATTCCTTGCCGGCGGAAGCGGTTCAGAGGTTTGAAGTGGACTCGGACAACCTTTTCTCAACTTTCACCTTGTCTGAGTGCCCTTGTGGTCCATTTGAAAATAGGGCTATGACTGGTGTTCCAGAGGGGCACTTCCCCGCGGATTCACCCTCCCTAACAAAATTCACATCTCGTGAGCTTGTGCAAGCTGTGGATTCCGCTCGCTCATGGGAGGGTTTGATCGACGAAGGACGAGAGCACGCACGGAAAGCCGAATGGGAAGATGCGCTACGAGCCTTCCACAACGCTCTCAGCCTCTGCGCCCCCGAGAAGTCATTCCCAAACGCGAGATATTACAAGCACCTCGCTCTTGGAGAGATAGGGAGTGCCAACAGAAGGTTTGGCCGGTATAAGACTGCAAGTGATTTCCTGGAAGAGGCCATCAACGGACTGAAGCCGTGCCTCCGGCGAGTAGAGTTCAGCGGAGAGCTCGGAGTCACATACTTGCACATTGGCCAGCTTGAGGACGCCAGCAACGCCTTCACAAAGCAATACGAGGCTGCCAAGGAGGTGGGGGCCGATCGCGAGATATGTCGCGCAGTCGGGAACATGGGGATGCTAAACTTTCGCTTGTCTCAGAGAGACGACGACCAGAGCCTGCTCGACCTGGCGATCACGCAACTCCAAGAACGGGTGGATCTCGCAGAAGATCTGAGACGAAACACCCTCACGCAAGCAGAGAGCACCAACTCCACCCACTGGCTTCAAGTTCTCGAAACCTGGAAGACAATCGGGCTCTGCAGGCTCTCGTTGTGTCACTGCGCCCGTGGGAACGTCGACAAGGCCATTGTCGTCTCCGCGGAGGCTCTCGAGATGACGTCCCTGTCGAAAGATGTCACAGTCAAAGCCATGACACGGTTCTTCCACGGGCGGGCGCTTGTGAAAGGGAGGAGACGGGAGGAGGCGCTCCGCCTGTACAACATCCCTGGGACGTGCTCACCTGCTATTGCCTTTGCCAAAGAGCCGTCGGAAGAGAACCGCGGCTACTTGAAAGAGCTGGCAGACATCGGAGCAGACTTTGACATCGTCGACGAGCAAGGATATACGGCCCTCGACCACGCGGTCTTTAGCGGGGACGTGACGACGGAAAGCATCATATTGGAGGGGCTGCGAAAGGTCTCCGAGGACAAGGCCCGCGAACGGCAAACGGAAGCCAGGCTGCGCAAGGGCTACCGAGAGCTGTTCCAAGATAAGCTTCGCCCCGTCCTACTGAGCGGAGGCCTGTACGTCTTGTCCAGACTGAGGAAGGCTTACGCAGAGGCGCTCGCAACCGACGAGACCAAGAGGAGCGTGTTCGACGGGCTGAATTTCATGTGGTACTCTGACTTTCTTGATTTCAAGAGGCTTCCGCGGTCCGACGACGGACTGGTTCGCGAGTTCAACTCCGACTGGCCTGACAAGAGCGCACGGGCTGCAGAGAAGGTTGTGTTCATCTCGTATCGATGGATCAACAAAACGCCAGGGGCGAAATCCCCAGACGACGACAAACACACCCAGTACCGTCGCATGGTTGACGCGATCGAACACTACCTTCGCCTCAACCCTTCGGTGCACAAGGACAAGCTCGGGGTCTGGATGGTAAGCGTGCGCCCCCCCCCCCCCCCCCCCCCCCCCATCTCCTCATCTCGACCGACTGCACTTACACATGATGGGCCCAGGACCACGCCTGCGTCAACCAGGACAACCCAAACACGGGCGTTTCGGCGTTACCCATGATTATCGCGCAGTGCGACGCAATGATCAGTCTCGTCGACGAGGACTACTACGACCGCGGGTGGTGCGCGGTCGAGGTCATGATGGCCGAGACGCTCCGGTCTTCCTATAGCATCCATCAATGGTACGAGCATGTGGTGCAGCCGGGTGGCTCCAGGGTCGAGGGCGTGCTAAGAGAGGCGCCGGGTCGTCAGGTTGGTATGATGAAAGACAAACGCCTCACGTTCGAGACGGATCGGCCCAAGGTCCTCTTCCTGGAGAGGCAGAGCAAGCTCCTCGGATGAGACATCTAGACCAGACACATATCTTTCGATGCGTTAGCAGCAATCGTCCGGGTCTCTTGAGTTTGATAACACATGCGGGCACGTTGTGACCGATTGGCACAGTAGTTTTGCGAACTCAATTCGATTCTTGTTTGCACGCTCTGCGTCTCTGGCAGTGAACTATATATACAAATAAACGAAAACAAGCTTCTCCTGGCAACGTGCAGGACGAAAGACATGTTGGAAGGTTCAGAACCATGGTATAAAATGGACCACCGATTCTTTCATCCACCCAGAATCCTGGCTGTGGTGAATAGAGAAGCCAGCTCTGCTAGGGACGGTCATGCATGATGCAAGCATCTGCAGGTCGTGAGCGACATCTAGACGCGGCGGCGGGGGCGGCGGCAGGCAGGCTTAGAAGAAGCAGCCTTGGAGGGAGTAGGCTGGGAGGCAGCAGGCGTGGAGGGAGCAGGCTGAGTGGCGGCGGAAGAGTCAGTGCTGCCGCCGGCAACACGGGCGATCTTGTCGCCGGAAGAACCGTCGGCACTGCCACGGATGGTGCCGCCGGGGATGACATCAGGGCCGGGAGCCTGCTTGTAGGACCTGTTGTTGCCCCAGACGCTGAAGTTGACGGGGGCATCGTCTTGCTTGTAGACGCCGGGGATCTTGGTGCTGGTGCCGGGCATGCTGGTGGCGGTGTTGCCGGTGACCTCGACCTGGGCACAGGCGTAGTAGAACTCGGCCTCGCCCCCGTGGGCGCCGTGGAGACCGATGTGCTCGCCGCGGACGAGGTACTGGCCGTTGGGGATGGAGTCGGGAACGACGAAGTTGACGTTGTCCTCGCCGAAGCTGCACCAGAGGCCGTGACGGAGGTCCTCAGGGGTGCCGCTCTTGCAGAGGAGGGACTGGTGGACCTTGTACCACTCGAGGTTAGAAGTGGCGGCGGTGGCGGCGTTGCTGACGGGGGCCATGTAGAACTGGGTGGGGCCGGGGTGCAGCATGCCGGTGGCGCCGAAGGCCTGCTGCATGGCGACCTTGTCGCCGGCCTTGACGGTCATGACCTTGGGGGCGGGGGTGGCGCCCTTGTTGCAGGCGAAGTCGGCATCGTTGGGGGTGATGGAGCCGGGGGGGGTGTTCTTGAACTTGGTGGGCATGTAGCCGTTCTGGTGCTTTCGGATGTAGGTGTTGTCACCGCCCTGCTTCTGTCCGTTGACGAAGAGCTTGTCGAAGGTGTAGTGAGCAGAGGCGGAGGTAGCCAGGCCGAGGACGGCGGAGAGAACGAAAGTGGCCTTCATAGTTGCGGTGGTGGATAGTTGCGGTGGTGGAAACGAAGGAAGATAGAAGTTTACGTGAGTTTGAAAAGAATGTGGCGACGTCAAGTCGAAATGCTAAGAATGCAGAAGGAAAAAAAAAAAAAGAGCGTGGAATGAAAGCAGAGAATCAAGCTTGATGCTGTGATGAGCAGAAGAATACCACTGAGAGGGCGCCTCATCGCAGTCTTTAAGTATTATTGCTTTGTCGGACTTCGCAGTCCGCCGCCGCCGCGGCGCTGATGCATCTCGGCCACGCTCCGCTACGAGCTCATCTCCAGGAGGAAGCAAGTGGACCCATCTATCGGACGGTATTCCCAGTCGTCTTCTTTTCCTAGAGCGTTCGAAGTTGATTGTCCATGGATCCCAAAGGAGTCGTGATGCAGAGGCACGGCGTCTAACGGGGTAAATCCGGCCCACCATTGGCAGCAACATAGGGGAGACGTCAGGAAGCGCTACTACAAGCATGAGCCGCCGCAACGGGACATTGCTTGTGGAGCACAGGGGGGGGCGTTACCCTGCGATCGGTGACCGTCTCTTCTTAGGTAGGTTACCAAACTAGGTTACTGGACGAGGGTTGTCTTTTTTTTTCAACTGGGGTGAGCTGTCTCGGATTGGACCGAACCATGGCGGGATAGGGGACCAAGTAAGATGACCGACGAACAGACGATGTCGCCGTTGTTTATCTGATGTACGAACTATAGTTACCGATGCTCGTTCTTAGCAGCCTTTTGAACCATATGACATATATGATCGATCTTATTGATGTAACTTAACGTATGATGCCTAGGCGTTGAATGGAGATCGGATTTTCATCTAGATAGCTTCCCGCGTGGGACACGTTCTATATGAAGACTTTTAACGACTTTCCGTCCAATAGGGGAGTTGTCCTTTGGCCCAGCGTCGCATCATCGTCATAGCGGCGAATGTCCGGTAGAGTATCCGTAATGGATGCGTGATGCGTTCTTGATCCACCCTGTCTCTCCACACTGCGAAGTGACAAGGGGCTTAAGGTTTGGTTCACATTGGTCCCTTCATCCGAATTTCCAAGTTACCCTTTCGATCGTCGCATGGTATCATTCTTTAGATGACATCGAATCCAATATCAACTGTTTCATTCTGGACGAACCGTACAGTATACCGGTAGTATTCCGAGCTTTCCGGATAACAATAAGTAGGATATGATCTTCATATTCTTCAACTGTCAGGTTCTTGTGGCTGCATCATGTAAGACAACCCACTATCAGAAAGTACACCTACTATCTGTATACTTGCCGCAGCAGACATGCGCGCATACTCCTTTAGCACCTTGTCGTACGAAACTTCCGTATTCCTGCAGAACCCTGGGCGATTTCTTACCGATGCCAGGAGACCCAAAACCCTTCATCAGCCGTTTTCATGATAAGAAACCTGAAGAAAAGGGAAGTGCAAGCATTCGTGCGCCCTAGCCTGAACAGAACACTACTTCTGGAACGTGTTATCCCGTCTGTTGGTCTTGGCAACCATTCCTCATGAGTGATGGCATTGACTCCTTAATAACGGGGAGGATGCGCCAGCTGTGAGGGCCTCGGCTGTCAGGAGTTGCGAGAGGCTCGGACAACTCGTAAGGAACCGTCAGAAGCCCGTAGACGGGGAAGCATGATGTGACCCACACTCTATGAAACGTGAACCTGCGAGGAAAACCCGGCCTGATATTGAGGTCACTTCTCCACTGATTGTGGTTATTGTGACACAAGGTGATATATGATTTACAAGGCGTTAATTGCTAATCCAATTAGCGGCGTCGTTTTTGCGACGTTAGACCAACGCTAAAATGTTACTGCTCAACAGTTCAGGCCCGCTTCGTACAGCACAGTTCACCGAGCGAACAGAAGACAATCTAATGAAGCTGTCATTCCCCCTTCTCTGGAATAGGGCCATCTCGCTCTTTGATTTCGTTGTCAACCCACCACGTTAAATGGAGATAAATGATCCGCGATATCTTATGATCCCATCTGCGGGATGAATAATGACAGCTACAAGATATTAAATCTTCGACGTGTAGCCTGGAGTAGTCTCCAAAGTGCACAAACTATAAACACACGTGGTAGAGATTGAGAATGCGGTCCCTTGATGCGTGGGACAAGCGCTACTAACATCACCAATTCAACAAAGAGGCCACCACCGGTCAACACTAAACGAAACTCGGTAACTTTGGAACACCTCTAGCGTTTCCTTCTCGTCCTATAATACACTAAAGCTCTATAAAGCAGTTTCAACTTTGTAAAATGTATTTGTGCACACAGTCCCACATGACGTTGCTAGCTTGCTGGCAGCAGCCGATGCGATGCTCAACAAAACTGGACCATGGTCGACGATGCGGAACGAGCGAACGGATCACTGGCAACAAGCCCAGTGTCTCAGAACGTTCTTCATCTCCGTGACACCTCAGCTGCTCAACGGTGTCGTATCAAGCGCAGGAGCGTTATCGGATGACGACGCTGTATGGTCATCCGCGCAAGAAGCTGTCAGTTTCTGCAGCCAGGGAGTAATCTAATGTCAGAGACCGGCAGTGAATTCCTGCCTGTTCGTGTACTTTGATGATAGATTCCTCGATATCGCTCCACTTGGCTAGAAAAGACGCAATAAAACCGCCTCCTAGGGCCGTTTCCATGATAGGGTCTCCGATTCCTCGGGCTCAGGACTCAGGAGTGTAAGCGATCAAGGGGAAATCTTCTCTCCAGATCCGGCAGGAATTTCAGACAGTGATTCGCGAAGCCGGCACCACTTGGCATGCTTGTTAAGACTAAGATGCTCACAGGTTATCCTCAGTGCGGTTATGGCTTCGGAGACCGATGGATCGACTTTCGATCGAGGCTCGCACGGGCCAAGGGTTTCTCAGGTCGATCATCAACCACGCGCACCAGCCACCTGCAGTCCCCAACTGTATCCGTTTACCAGGTCCCAGTGGCACTTCTGGCAGAGCGGCTTCTCAATTCCTTACAAATAGAGAAAATCCTGAATCGCCAAGGACGGGGCTGGATCAGATTGAAAGGCTGATGAACTTTTGGCTTCTCAAGTGCAATTCTATTCTGCGATACTGCGAATGGTCTGTGGGCATTACGGACGAAGCGTAGTAACATGAAACTCTGGTTCATTCAAGTAATAGCCTTCAGTATTGAATTTAGGGCCTGATCGGCAAAACCGATAACAGTCCGATATCAGCTGTACTCCAATAAGAAAATACATAGGGTTAGGGTTAACAAGAGTTTAATGCAAGGCAAAAGGTTAATTCAATGAATGTACTGCTAGAACCGCTGCGACAGCTATGGCCAGCTGCAGCCTACTGGCACCACTACTGCTAGCGCCCACCCACTGTTGCCAGCGCCCAGCTGCCAGTGCCCACCCACTGTTGCTAGCGCCTACCTACTATTGCCAGCGCCTAGCTGCCAGCGCCTGCCCACTATTGCCAGCGCCCAGCTGCTAGTGCGCCTGCCTACTGTTGCCTACTGTTGCTAGAGATATTAGTCTATTTCTCACACTCAACCTAAGTCTAGAGGCCAGTAATAATTTATATAAAGAAAGTAGAGGATTTAGTAAGTCTACTAATAAGAAAGTAATATTTCTTAGTAGTATATAGCCTACTTTAATATTATTAGAGTTCTATAATATAGAACTAAAATTATAATATATACTCCTGTTTTTGGCCAAGTGTAGAATAATTTAAGTTTTTTGGTACTTGTGGCTAGTGCTTGGTCTGTGATATCGGTCCTTATTTGAAGTGTTAAATGATATCGGCGGAGCCGATCAGGCCCAAAGTTAGAGAAAAATGAAATCGGTTCATTACTATTCAGTGACGGAAGACGACCCAAAGCTTATTCAAGTTACTCAACCTGTCTCTTGTCGCCCAACAGTTGCTATAGCCTTCCCATCCAAGCCGCTTTGCAATACAGCAAAACATCCCTGGCCCTTTTTATTTCCTGTGATAATGTTTCCAATCAAGTCTTATCCCATTGGATGATGATAAGTGTTGGGAACGGCTTGAAGAGAGCAAGTTCTGTTAACGATAGAGCCTCGCCTCTTGTATGGCGATTGCTGGTATAACCACTTTCCAGTAATCTGTAAGTACGAACATAAAGCTGGGGATTCAAAGCAGTGCTTGATGTAAAGCACGGACTGTAGATTCAAGAGGTACTCTGAGCATATTATGCTGAAGATGCACTATGAAAAGCATCTAATGGTGTGTCTAACGACGTTGATCTTCACAAGTGTAAGAGTGCGAGTCATCCGCATTGCCCCCATTGTACTTGGCAGCGCGAGGCCACCGGCAAATCTTTCTCGTTCTCCTACTTCCATCAGCGGGGGCAGTCCCGAGAAGATCCTCCGGAGTCTTCCCCTTCTCGACCCAGTCCACAAGGGCCTCGAGTGTGTTTTGCTTTGTCGGGACTTGGGGATAGGTTGACGCGCCGCCACAGTGACCACCTCCTTGAAGCACCCGTCATGTCAGCCCAATTCGTTTGGAAGGAACACAACATCTGCCATGCGGCGCTACTTACCGGGGATCATGAACAGTGAAAGCCATTCATGTCTCTCGCCGCCTGTAACCCGCGCAACCTCATTCAAGTGATCGATAGGCCAAGTAGCCGCATTAAGCGGATCGGCCCAACCCTGTGTAACAAGTAGCTTTCCTCCTTGCGTCTTGTAGGCTGTGAGGTTAGGACTGATGGCGTCGATCAGGCTGCCCACTTTTGTATCCATCGCGTCTACGTCGGTGCCCCAGTTGAAAGTGCTGCCGTTATAGCTCAGGTCATCGAAAACCATATTCTGGAGCAGGGGAAGGGAAAACGAGAGTGAGAGAGTGCCTTCCTGATACATCCATTCTGCTTCGGTGCCCAGATCAAAACCCGGATAGAGGCTGGCGTTGGTCTCCGAATGACGGGGCCCGGCATATATGTCCTTGGCCGCTACGATTTGTTCTGGTGTGAGGCAGGTCGATGTATTGCTCGCCCCGTCTTTGCACGCCAAACTCACGATGTCGAACTTGCAGGCCAGTGGGTTCTCGAGCACTCGATCTTCGACACCATCTAGAGCGTCGCATTGGTCCAATACTGCATCTTTGATACGGTCTAGTGACTCCTGTGGTAGAAATCTCGAACCCTTTGGTGTGTTAGCATACGAAAACACATGGCCAAAGGGTACCACGGGCCCAGGGGGGGATCCATAGGTAGAGTTGGAAACTTCCAACTTACAAGTGTGGCCTGTTGGTTCCACAGAAACGATAATGCAAGATGAGAGTACCAATTTCCGGGGCATCCTGCAGCTATCCCGTCGAACAAGTCGGGATGATACTCGGCCAATGCAAAGCCTTGGGCACCTCCAGTGGAGCAGCCTGTGTAGTAGGAATGGTGAGGCTGCGTTCCATAATAAACGCTCGTAATGCCCTTTGCCGAGGGCGTAAGAAACGCGATCGAGTTGCGGATCCATGCGAGGACTTGATTGCGGTCGTGAAGATAGGGTAGATTAACGCCGCCTGGATAAGCATTGCCGCCATTGTTTTCAGAGGCCCGGTGGCCGCTATCACCCCCGGCAGTTGCGAAACCTTTGTTGACGTTCTCTAACATGGCCACATGGTCGATGGTGCCAGCCATGCCTCCGTTGCCTGTCGTGGTCAGGTCAATCTGGGTTCTTCGTCATACCGAGCTGTTGAAAAGTTACTTACCGACTGCCAAAAATCTGCCATTGTATACATCCGTATCAGGGAGCCATACCTCAAAAAAGACAGTGTTGTTCTCTGGGTACGGCACACTGCCGTTCACGCGGCAAAAGGAAACAGAGTTGAATGTTCCAGATACATTCAAGGAGTTGGTCGGTACGAATGCTGTTTCCACAGAGCCAAGGGTTAAGATCGATGACCTTATCAAATCTGGTAATATATCACAGCTAGTGCTGGAATTTGCACCCCCTAGGGCGGCGTGTGGTGGCAACAGCAATAAGGCTAAGGCCAGTGTTAAAAACATGATGAAGATGAGTCGATCCGAAAGCCACCTGTTTCCCCATGTGCTGGGCTTTCCACTCAATGTGGGCTTGCCATCCTTCAAATACACCCACGCGATTTCGGGAGGAGCCAGCACATGATCGTTTGTGGAGCAGTCCGCCCGCTCAACTAAGGCCCTCTGTTCTCCGAGGGGGTTTACCAAGGACACGTGAACCCGTCGTTCCCCGGCGCCGAAGCCGTTGAGTTGATTCGACAACATAATTGGGGGCTATTACACCGCTATGGGTTGGAAGACGGTGGTGGATCAGTCGGATGTTCTTTGGTGAGTCCCCTGGGGTCATGGAGACTTGACAGCCATCAAGAGTTGCAACAAGATGCTGATCGTTGGCTATTCGGTCCTCGGCGCCGATGGCCGCGAGCTTTGAGAGAGCAAAACAGGTGGAGTTCAACCAGGGCCCCTGGGAATTGCTTGCATTGGATAGATGCGATCAGAAGAAAAGAAGGCATGATCCCCGCATCAAGGTGGTGTTGATGCTCCTTTGCGCGGGGTTGTTTACTCCCAGCTCGGCGGGACAGGCCCAAACCTGATTAGCCTGTGGAATGTTGGTCAAATTGAGCAGTTTTAACCACACATGACGTCTCATTGACCCCACTATGACTTACCAGCGCCCCGGGTTTGTGTAGGAATCAACGATAAGAAAGCTCAATAACAAAATATCGAGGCATAGCACAGTGAGAAACCATGGAACAGTTTTGTAGATGGTACATCACGAGACATATCTCTATTTAATAAAGCAGTAAGCTCTGAAATGTGCAAGAACCATCAAAATATTCAATTCAGTTTCCCCGACGCCACGATACAAAAATCCAGATGTAGGCAGTGGAGCATTGGCTTCGGGTAGCTCGGTCTGTTCGGCACTTATTTACCGATCCATCCCTTCCACTATCCCCAGCCTGTAATGCATTAAGGTGCAGGTTCCGCTGAGGAAGACGCACCGCGCGTGTGATCAGAGCAACTGAACTTGGGAGATGTTGTAGCATTCGGACCTCTGCGCAACTCCTGGGTAAAGCCGGCTGCGGTCATAATAACGATCTTATCCAACAATTGGGTCAATGCCGGGCTCCTGGTGGTCTGTCCGGTTTGAAGGCTGGCCATGACCGCTGAAAACCAGCAGCTAGTATCCATGCATGCTGTCTGCCTGACAGAAGTTTCAACCCGATAGGAACCCATGCACGCACAAGCCACATGCCTGATCTCGAGGGCCTTAAGACGGGCCGTTTCATTAGTATCTGGCTTTGGTAGAATTATGTCTTCGTTAGCATCACGCATATCGGAAGAACTGATGTCGTCGTCGTTTTTTTTTTTTTTTTTTTTCAATAACGCCGACCCTGCTTTCAAAAGGAATAAAGGGCTCCGACTCGGCTAGCACTAGCCCGCACCCAGTACTGTCCTGGGTCTTCTAGCTAACTCACTATAAGAAATATTTACACTAGCCCTCTATCCGTACTCTTATACTGTCGCGCAAAAACGACGCCGTTAGTTGCAGCAGCATAACTAACGCCTTATATCACCTTGTGACACCCTCCTAGATCACAGGTAGCCCTGCTTATGTAGATCTACTCTAAGAAGGAAGCCTCTACAGCCCCTAAAGGTACACACTCCCCTAGGGCAGACACTGCTACAACTCTTGTTAACCTTCTAATTAGGTTTATCTCGCTAAAGCTTAGGTAGTTACTGTCTGACTTATCTAGGTGGGGTATTTACGACCTGTCCTTAGCCTTAATAAGGTTTAAACCTATAGGGTTTATAAAGCTTAGACACTAGCTTAAGGGCTATATTATTAAGGTATATAGTATAAACTAGGCTTATAACTGTTATATAAAAACAACACTGTTAGTTATAGTAGTATAACTAGCGCCTTATACTACCTTGTGACATATATATACTAAATAATAGACATAAGTAGCTACGTTTAATAAGATTTACTACATATGCCTCTTAGATTCTGTCACATAGGATATTGCCGCCTGACACCACTTTCTGCAACAAGGTCGCTTACTAACCTAATCCTCGCTTCTGAAAACGGGTACTCGCGGCAGAATCCACCAAGCAAGGCAATATTTAACAAACGCGTACTATTGTACTATAGCTAGAAGAAACAAGCCACTTTCAACTACATGAATTGCCCCCTAAGTGCCACTGCTTGATGATAATTTCTAATTGACAGCATGCGCCTCTGCGGGTTAGAACTCAGGCTAAAAATTGCTAAAAAGCTAAAATGTTGAATTCGCCAGGGTATGGTGATACGGTTAACTGTACGCACCGGTGGCTATTAACGGATATTAGGGGTAACTGTCGATCTCTATTATGCGTAAAGAAAAGAAGGGCAACTATCGTGGGTTGGTTGGTTGAATAGCCAACTTATTGCCGCAAATTCTCGGTGGATCCTTGGCCCAATTAACCGAGAATTGGCCGGCAATGAGTCATCGGAGTTAATCCGATAAATATCGCAACATAGACAAAGTGTTTAAATTTGCATGTGCGTGTAGTGCTGACCTGTTTTTACACCATTACCAAAAAGCAAGTCTGGCCTGTGCGGCATCATCGCTGACGTTGAGAAATGGTTCCACCTGCAGGTACCTACTTTTTTCAGCATTCTGAACGAATCAGCATCGGCTTGGAAAGAGGGGTTGATGATACCGGGCCAATACGCATGGCTAGGAGTTGAATGGCGGTTTAGGCAGCAGTGATGATGTGTCTTGGTGGTGTTGATGTGCGTTGGGCTTTCGTGATGTTTATTCCTGACGGGTGCTGTCTTTCGAGACTTGTGGATCCGAAACAGCAGACGCTGGAATAATGCACTTCAGAAATCATGAGAAGCTAGTGATAATTATCGTGTTACTTATGCTATGTCGATGCTGTTGAACAAACTTTAGAATAACCAAACCAAGTTACCAAATAGCTACCAGCCCCAACACCTCTTCGAACGTCATCATAACGCTGCAGTTTCCCAGGCCAGCGCATCCCCCGGTCACTCTAGTAAGATTTGACGTCCAGATTCCTGAGATCTTTACACCGAGTGGTGACCTCAAGCAGTTAAATAAATATAACGTGGTGATTGAATGTAGGTGGCTAAAGCTTGTCGATGATCTTCATGCTTCCATCGTCGAAGACCTTGACTCGCGGTTTCTGTCATGGCGGTAATTAGCATGCGCCGTTGAGGAATGCAAAGCAAGATACAGGGACATTTAGTAGTTGCACATACGCCATCGATATTGTGTAAACCCTCAAAGCGGCAGTAGGCGTGGTTGCAATCGCGGAACCATTTGCAATGGTGCCCAAGAGTGCAATTAATATCGTCGCACTCCGAACCCATACTGCATGGTATACCGCGAGACTAATTCATGTTAGCTTTGAGATCGGGCACTGTTGTCGCTGGAATCAGAGCCCACCTTCTGCTTCAATACCAGCAGCTCTCCCGCGCTCAGCTTCTCGCCATGAACGTAGTAGCATTCTGTGTTCTTGCAATTGTTAAGAAGATGGTAATTATTGCAAAAGTTGCCTTCTCTGCTCATCCGATCCTTGAACCTCTTTTCTGCTGCTGGATCTATCTTGGGTAGCGGCTCGTCGATGCGCTGGCTGTCCTTGTTGAGTAGGTAGTACTTGCGGGCTAGTGCCTTCTTAGCAGGGGAGATGTCGATTGTCTTGGGTGCCGTTGGGGCTCTGGTCACTGCAGTCCACTGGGCTGTCGTCTGCGAGTCGTTAGAGGGCGGGCTGGTAATGCGCGAAGGGCTATCGGCCGCAGGCCTCAGAGGTACGCCGTTATTAGTAGAGTTGGTATGGGCCACGCCGGCTGCTGGTCTAGTCGGCGAGACAACCGTGGCGGCTTTCAGGACGATGGCGGGTGGCGGCATGCTCGCAATGGCCGGGCGCTGGACCCTCTCAGGCAGCTTCTCCGACATGAACACCGACTTAAAGCTAACCCTGGGGAAGTTGAGCTGCTTGAACCCCTCTTCGGCCGGCGTCGTCTCGATTAGGGTAAGCTTCCTGGCCACCTTTTGATCCAACTTGTAGGGCTCAAGGACAGGCAGGTATCCGTTATCGTGGCAAGGACCGAAGAAAATATGCTTGCACTGGGTCACGCGGACCATGACGCGAAGCATCTCGCGGATCTTGTGATCAGCCGACTCCTTGCCGGAGCCGACGTCGACGAAGCTGAAAAGGGGCTGCGCGCGGCCGAAGCCGCGTCCAAACTCGGATAGGGTCCTTTCAGTCGTGGTGTTCGGAACGATACCCGAGGAGTGAAGCTTCTTGGCGAGCCCGTCAACGTTGAGGACTACCTGTACGATGATGCTCCAGTCCTCGCTGGCAGCCTCAGGATAGGCCTCCGTGACGTAATTCTTAATCTCCGTCCATAGGAGATAGCCGGCTTCAGCGCCGCCGTCGGCGCCTTTCTTGAGCAAGGCCTCCTGGAAAACGGCGCCGTCGCCATCAATAATCACGAAGACGAACGGGTTAGATTCCTGCATGCTATGTCAGCTTGTTTGCTCTCATGGGAACGCCTCGAGCTTATGATGGTGAGATCGTGTGGGTTTCCTCGGCATACATTAGCCTTCTTCAGTGAAGATACTTCTTGCCCCAAGTTATTGGCCTTGGTCTGCCACATTCGGCGGGATTCGACCTCGTTACTATAATCGTCACACTTCTCGCGATAAAGCGCTTGTAGCCGGCCGTGCCGTACCAGAAGCTCCTTCAATCCAGAAAGATCAGCAATTTATCACCAGAAAGCACTCTGCACCCGTCTTGATTGTCTGTTATGAACCGGGGAAGGCATCTGTTAGGACGCGGAGCCAGTCTCACCTGAATCATCTGATCGCGAGAGTAGTCATTGCGTCGGAAATTTTCCAGCTGCTGGACATACTGGCTTAAATCCTCTAAATGGTCCATGTCGCTACCCTCATGCGTTTGTACGCCAATCTCTCAATGGCCTGTGTTTATCTCTTCGCGGAATGCAGCTGTTGGGCCGAAAGATGGTGCCTAGTGAGTGAGCGACTGGGTTGGATGTGGGATGAGGAGATGAGATGAAGTCGATTGAAGTCGTCGGTTGAAGTTTTTAGGATAGACCGGAGAGCGACTATTACTTAAGCTTGATTAAATGTGTGGTGGGGATCTCTCAAATGGGGACAGTACTCAAGCGTCGGGCCATTCAAAGCCCTGGAAAAGACATTGTTCTGGCGGCACAGCACCACCGTCAAGGTACATTGCGATCCCTGCATACCCCAGGGAGGAGTGTCTCTCGCTGAGCTCATCCGTTGTGAACACAGCCGATAATGCTAACGTTTTCTTTACAGACCGTATGTCCAGCTATTTGTTCAGCTGCGGAGACCCACAGAGTATGCGACTTGTACTCCAAACGTACGTGTCACACGCTGCTTTGTCCCCGACTGGGCCTCTGTCTTTGTCTGTGCTCCCCTGTTGTATCCCTACTCTAGTTGAGCCATGCTTAGATATTCAGATAGCATTGTGACCGCGCATTATTATGCGAAGCTCTTTCAAGGGAAAAAGGACATCTAATTTATCCATACGAAATTACATGCTAAAAACTACTTGCCTGTGCTTTGAGACAAGACGTTGAGTGGCACTAAGTGACCGGAAACAGAAACTGTTAGCTGCGGCCCGGCAAATGTAAGCAAGGTGACGTATAGTTGAAAACCAAACAAACAACATACATGATGCGCCGTTTCAGCCAACACAAACACAAGAAAAAGACAACAAGCGCGGTTGATTGCATGCTGCGGCCCCAACACACATCAAGAGCCGAAAAATTCAGTACTTTCTTTGTGTACTACACATCACTGTCCTAACCGCCTTGACCCTGTACCTATTCTCGTCAGATAATTCAGGTAGGTACTTAAAGCAGCTAAGGCTAGCTCCACTCGCCTACAGCTCAAAACCCTTTACCACGTTAAACTAAGAAATTTCAAGTATTAAGTATGCTAGATGAAAAAAGTTGAACAAAAACTCCATGCATCCCACCATTGTTACATCCTACTAGAATAAGATTAAGACCTGCGACCCCCCTACTTATCCCCTCAATACCAGGATTAATAGACTAGCTCTAGCTATTAGAATAAATTGTACAGACTGACGTTCTGCGTCCTACAAGCGAACTAGCCCTTAGGAGACACAAATCCTTTCACGGTATTTAAAATCAGCTAAAGGCTTAGAAGTAAGACTATAGGTCTAAACAACAACACTTTAAAAGCAGATAATTAGTTAACCTAGCAGAACAACATTAGAATTATACTATATCTGTCTCTACGCAAGCCTACATTAGTCAAGGTTGCTCCTTAGAGTAGCTTTGATACATCCTGTTAACAACCTGTTATCCTCAACACCGCCACAAGGCCTGACAGGCCGGCGGTAAGGAAGCTTGTTGTTACGCATTCAGGGCTTAATATAGGCTTCTATATACTTGTCAATTATACCTATAAACGCTCTATTAATCTACAGATAGTCACTTTAGGCAAAGTACTTAACCTTAATCTCTACTATAATCCTAGTCGAGACTGCTTAGTAATTATTAACATAAAAACAGACTCTGTTACACTATGTTCTTCTCCAATAGCTTTAGTGCCTCATATACAACACTTTCCATCGAGCGCGTATGGGATTCAGTTGGACTAATCAGTGGTGCGAAACATTGCTGTCAGGGACCAACCACAGTTAGTAAGCAGTTTCTCTGAAAATAGATAGTCAAGGTGGCTGATGGTTGGCCGGTTGAGACCCGTCGCCCATTCGACCCCGCTGGCCAACCATTAGCAGCTACTGTCTCTAGTAGATCCCATGCTGGACTGACCAACAATACCTCAACACACGCGCTCATCAGCAGCCAAACATCGACCAACCTCCCTCCCGGGCGCGGGAATGCGTCAGTCAAACATTCTTAGCCTCTCTAGGCGAGGGCTTCATTTGAGCCCTCGATCGTTCTTTGCAACTTCATGTTACAGAACCAGACGCCTAATGTCGACTGCCTCAACAACGCTAACCTCACTATATAAGCACATTGACGACGTCGAAAGACTTGACTTCTATGGCCCGGGGGGCTATCATCCCATTAAGATTGGGGAGAGACTTCGAGACCGATATATTGTTGTACACAAACTCGGTTTTGGTAGTTACTCGACCATTTGGCTGGCGCGAGACGAGCAATTAGGCAAGTATGTGGCCATCAAAGTTAGCACGGCGGACCACAGCTCCCAGGAGGCTGATATTCTGAGCCAATTCTCCGCCCGTACCGTCGAGAACGTACAGTTTGGCGGAAGTTTAATCCCTGTGATACTGGATCACTTTAACCTCAATGGACCAAATGGAACACATCTATGCTCTGTCACTGCGCCGGCAAGATGCAACGTTGCCGAAGTCTTGGAGCCAGGCTCTGGCCCGTTCCAGCTTCGCGTCGCCAGATCACTTGCCGCCCAGCTTGCTATAGTAGTTGCATACGTCCACCAACTGGGTTATGTTCACGGGGGTGAGTACATGTACTTGGCCCTGCTTGTCCTTCCTGGCCATCTCTAATGGTTAGTAGACGTTCATATAGGAAACATCCTTCTCCAGTTGCCAAGTTTCGATCATCTTTCCGCCGAGCAACTATACGAAGAATTTGATCCGCCAGAGCCTGAACCTGTTGTCAGAGTTGATGGACAACCGCTCTCACCAGGTGTTCCACCCCATGTCTATCCGCCGATCTGGCTCGGTAAGCCTGGCAATGAAGTCACCCTCACTGAAGCCAAACTCTTCCTCGCCGATTTTGGTACGGCGTTCTGCCCTGTGCACGAATCAAGGTTTGAGTCCTATACGCCACTTCAGATCCGTCCACCTGAAGCAAGGTTCGAGCCGACAACGCCGCTGTCGTATGCATCTGATATTTGGAGTCTCGGGTGTGTAATTTGGGGAATACTTGGAGTGAGGCCATTCCTCGATAATTGGTTATTTGGGCCAGATGATGCCACTGCGGACCAAGTCGATGCCCTTGGATCGATGCCCAATGAGTGGTGGGAAACTTGGGAGGGGAGGTCAAAACGGTTTAGCGAAAATGGGAGGCCAAAGGAGGGGCGTGAGGTATGGACTTTTGATCAACGGTTTCAAGATGCAATCCAGGAGCCGAGAAGGAGAAGGGGACTGGAGGCGATGAGCGATTCGGAAAGAGATGCTCTGTTCAAGATGATACGGGGCATGCTCGTTTTTAAACCTGGTGATCGTCTGAGCGCAGAGGAAGTGCTGCGATCGGATTGGATGAGGACGTACGCGATTTCCGAAGCTGAGAAGACTTGGGGACGGAAGTTGCTCTGCAACGACCTCTCGCTCACAAATGGATGTACTGTATAGATAAAATACTACATACTCCATTAAACCCTACGATTGAACAAGTACAACCATCTGCACGTAGCAATTTCTTTGTGATTGGCCACCACGCTAAACTCTATGATCTTACCGACCTACTATGCTTTCACTACGACCTACACTAAGTATTGAACTATATATAGTACGACGGACTTATCTAAACGTGTTGAAATGCCGTCGTCTAGATTAATAGATGTTCTGGTCACTAGTTAGATCCCTCTAAGGCTGCGCAATGTCGTAAAGGCATTACGACACCAAGGAAAAACAATGTCCCTTCGTTAATAACCATCAAGAAAACACTACCTAAGGAGCCAACGCTTAGTGTACAACCTAGGAATACAGCTATGCCTTGGCTTTGCTTTGCTAACTTTAAGACATATGTGCTAGTCTATGTTATTTGCATTGTTCTTACCTAATCTGGGGTTTATAGGACATGAGGATGTAAAGACGTATCTAGGCTCTGTATATTACGTAAGACCATAATCTTGTCCTGCTTCCTATAGAAAGACTACAGTGTATAACAAGAACTGCTCTTAACTTTCCTAAAGCCTTCTAAGTCTTAGTCTCTCGCCTTCAGCAACAGCAGTAGCCACCTCTTTAGCTATTGCTAACATATGATTCTCTGAGAATGTTTCATTACACGCTAGGCCCCCTTAACAACTAAACCCCACTGTCGACATTCTTCTCGCCCAGAACAGTCTCTCAACTCTCCGAAGAGGAGGTACTCCTTACGTTCCATTAAACACACAACTAAGCTAACGGCTTTATCTGCCATTAGGTAGGCTAACGCTTACAATGTAAAAATATACCAACTAGTAATCCAAGCAACGCATTAGGCCTTAATACTATTACACTAATAGATACTTGCCTTTACGTAGGCTATAAGGTTTCTTTATAAAACAAGTAAACATAAAGCTATAATAATGTTATAATTAGAAAAAGTTTAAAGACTTTATCTTATATAAATACTATACCTAGGCCACAAAGTCCTTATTTATATCATTTTTATATAAACTTTGTACAACTTTATTATTTCAACTGTAATTAATTCTCTTTAACTAACTTATTAGAGTTTTAGGCTAATGACAGCTGGTGACATTGCAACTCTAGGTACAGCTGTTACTCTAGCTTTATCTTTAGTTGCAGCGCTATTTTATTCTTTAGCGCTTCTAGGGCCAAAGGGTTATCTTATAGAAAATAAAGATTAATCTTAGGGATTTATATCCCTTGACATAATTAGCCTAGGATAAACTGACGCCTTGTATTAGGGTTATACTTTAATAAAACAACGCTCTTTGCTTTGCACTGTAAAACATGTTCCTGTCTAAAAGGGTATTTGTTAACAACTGCTAGTAAATAAGGCAGTAGCAACTAAGAAATTAGCTAGCTTTAATAACAATATTAGTTAAACGTAGAGTACTACAAGGGGCGTTAGGTCTTATAAGACTACTCCTGTCCACTTATACCAAATTAGTAGAATATTTTCTTGCGTAATCTTGTCACTAGGAGCATTATTATAATTAAGGAGAAAATAGTATCCCTAGTTATTATAGCCAAAATTGGCGTTGCAAGAACGCTACTGGTCTATTAAGGGTTCAAAATCATAGCTCTAGATTTTCTAGTAGATTCTGTTCTTTATAAGCCTTATCTTTTTATTATAATATTTTCTAAGTACAAGGTATATCTTTGTCTATATAAGAATACGCAGGGTCTTTTTGCTCCTGAAATTGTCTATTGTTTTATCTCCTGTTGCGTACTATACGGCTAGTTCCTCCATGATGCTGATGTTCTGGACAACGTTGTCTGCGGGAAAAATGCTCTTGGCAAAAATGGCTTTGAGGCCGCTGTCGGCGCTGTGATGAAAGGTCGGAGGTACGGAGTACTCCAGACTATTTAAATACGATGTAAATCATGTGACCGACAATCCCTCCTGTGACCTTCTTCTTGATTAGTCAATCCTTCCCATACATAGATACAGTACAATAGCTATGTATCCCAGCTCATATTAGCACAGTGTATATTCTCATACTATTCCCAAATTCTTGAGTCTAAAGACAAGCTGATAGTGTCCCTCCCCTGTTTACCTAAGAGTACTACACATAATAACAGTAATAAACATTGTATCCTAAAGGCTATAGGTTTAAATTTTTTCTCTTTTTTTTTAGACTTTTTTTTAACTCTGACACAGCTCTGCTAGGGAGGATTAGAATATTACTAACTTACCCTGCTTCCTACGCTGTGCTCTAGGTCAGGATAGGCCAAGACTCCCCCTTTTTAAGTTGTGTTATCACTAAATCCACTATCTACTGAGGTTTATTACAGTTATTATGCACAGTACTCTCAGGTGGACGGGGGGGGACACTATTAGCTTGTCTGATCACTCATGTGAGATAACAAAGAAGGTAAGAGTAGGACTGCTTCTGCGCTGACATGCCAGATGCTGGCAGTGTGGCTTGATGTACCGTGCATTAGGTACAATGCTCACAAACCTGAATTTGGACAACTAGCGTATTCTAGGCCAGGTTTCTTTGCACTGTATGTGCCTGTATCATCGTACATAAAGCCGAAGCTCCCAGAGCTGGCCGCCTTCTTTGTATTTTCAACTCAACCTCTTCGCAACGCACTACACTTTAACCTGCAACAAATCATCACTTGACTCGGCATGGAGAATCCAAAACGCTATGACGTGGCTCTCTGGCAGGTACACGAAACCGAAAACGACTGCGAGCTCGTCATACGAACCAATAACGGATACGCCTTCTATTGCAGAATCTTTCCGCATCATCTTCGTCAGTCGCCCAAAACCACAAAGCAGTACTTCAAGTGCTTAAAACTCCTGAGGTCTGGCGAAGAAGAACAGGACGATTTCTATGTGGAAGATGCGTGCGACTGGCTGTCACACTTGTTCCAGCCTCTCATCGCCCAACTGGCATTATCATCTCCAGCGCTTCCCGAGGAAAGTCCCACACTCGATCAGTATCTTTTCCCTCAGCATTTCGTCTGCGATCTAGAAGTCATCGACGAAGTCTCACGACCGTACCTAGCGGAGGACCAGGACCACGGTTGGTCTAGGCCGGTTCTGGTCGTGAAAGACGAATTCATCAAAGACCTCGACCAATGGACTCGATCTTACCATCCGTCCGATGTCCAGCTAGTTTACAAACACCCCAAAGACGTCTTAATCAAACGACCAAAGAAAGTTCTTGTTGATGCAAGCAAGGGTAGCGAGACCACGTGTTTCTTCAAACCTTTTGGACTCTCACTCGGTTCAGTGCATGCGAAGAAGGAGCTTCTTACTTTGAGGGAAGTTACACAGCTACCTCGTGCCCCGGAGGCATGGGTCTGTCGCCTCCATGGTGTTGTTCGAGAGGGAAATGTGTTGATGGGCATGCTATTCACCTGGATCGATGCAACGGGAGTACTGGGTAGAGCAAGAGCTGAGAATAGTTCATCCGATATCCGAAAACGTTGGGCAGCACAGATCCGCACATCACTCGAGAAGCTGCATGATAGAGGCATCATCTGGGGCGATGCAAAAGCCGATAATGTCCTGATTGACAGGGACAACAATGCCTGGGTCATTGACTTTGGGGGCAGTTACACCCCTGGATGGATTGACAAGGAGAAGGCTGGGACGCTGGAAGGCGACGCACAAGGTTTGGCAAAAATACTCGATATCCTCCGTTGACACAAACTGCATTCAATGGAAACATCCAAGTCCTCCCTATTCCATCTACGGAACACGACAAGCTATTCCGTATTTAATCTGCGATTCTAACCCTTATTGGATTCTACTTCATGGGACGACAAAGCCGATAGTTGCATTTGTCGCATGTTGATCGGGGACAACGAGGTGCAGTATTGCTCGAAGCAAGATCTGAGGGACGCCCATTTCGAGAGACAACTTCAAGGTCACTATGAAGGTCGCTCGATCTCACTCCCAGGTGCCAACGAGGACAATTAGTGTCCGCAAAGGTTCAAGGTCAATGGAGGGAGTCCCGTCGGACGAGGGAGCGTAGGGAGAGATTGAAAGAGGAGATCCAGGACTTGGAGGTTGAGATGGAGATCTTGCGTTGACAGGACTCAGATGTTACGACCCAACAAGACTATAGGCGGCCGGAGCCCCTGGAAGCGCAGGCAGCACAGCATCTTGTAGGCCAACGGAAGGGTGACTCCCCACGGAACAGAAGAACTATAGAACAGGTTATATAACTGTCACAGACAGTACCTCTAGGGCCTAGAGAGCTCTATGCCTTATAAGGCAGTGTTGACAGCAGTGCTGGCAAGAGTGTCAGCATTGGCGGATCTTTTGGCCTAGTGGGTTTAGGCTGGAAGGTCTATTGGCAGGAGCGTCACTGTCAGCGTCCTGTTACAAACAGCTAGCAGGAAGGCTATGTCAAAACATGTTATAATGAATCGTGAAGGTGAATGTTCGGATTTTAGTTACCCTGTAATATTTTTGACAAATTACAAGGCGTTGTTTTTGCCAGCCTGAAGCTTCGAAACATGACTTGCTGAAACCTTTTAGACATGATGTCAAGTTCGACCTGCGGCTTTTCCTGATACATCGTTTTAATAGCGTAGAACGAAGGCTCAAACGAGGTCATGTGGTTTACTGTGGTTTATATCGACTTGAGATTGATCAAAAGATCATTATATCATTACGTTATACCACATCTGCTAAGACATTCGACATGTCTCGATCCCTTGCCCGGCATTCTATTTCCTTCTCCATCCGAAAAAGGTTGAGAACATACGGTCTGCCTGGCCAGCTGTGAACTCATTTGTGCTGTAGTTTTACGGTTAACTTGGAGCATACAATCGATGGAAAAAGTCTCCGAGTGGCCGAACGAGACCCGAGGGATGCTTACCAATCGTCCGCCGCGTAACCCATGAAGTTGTGAACGGGATCCAAGCCAGGAAGGTTCGGGCAGGTATCCAAGCCTTCAGGGCAGTCATACGCTTCTGCCGCCTGGGCAGGTGTATCCGCAACAAAGTCTCCTGGATTATCAGAGCAGCCACCGGCGAAGGTATGGTTGAGGCCGAACCAGTGACCGGCCTCGTGGACAGCGATATGGCCCTGGTTCCATATCTCGAAGCCGCCCTGCTCGACGGTGAGGCCTGGCATGGTCATGGCGCTGATCTGGCAGGAGTCGGTGTAGAACTCCAAGCTGCCAGGGTCTGCGATGACCGTGGGGAACTGGCAACGGCCCGTCGCGCCGGGCGCGTAGCTGCTGTAGAAATAGAGATTCATGACATCGTATCCGCCTTTGCGGGTGGCCTTCAGGTAAGCGTTGTACTCATCCTGGTGATTCTCCCAGCCGTTCCCCTCGTTGACGAAGAACCCCGATCCGGTGAGGTTGTTGACGACGCGTTCGGTTGAGTTGAGCCGCAGGTTGATGTTGTGCTTCGCAAAGGAGTCGTGCAGGACTTTCCACTGTGCGTCGACAATCTCGTCAGTGATGAGATCCGCTTGGGCTTCGGTGCTGGCGATGTGGAAGTTCACGTCGACTGTGATGTTGCCGGGGTAGTCTTGGCGATCGGCCGTCAAACCAGTAGATTGGACTGCAGTATCAGAGATGGGGCCGTCGTCGGAGACCTGACACCCGCGCCGGAAGGGCATGGGCAGCTCAGCGAGGGGTACACTGCTGGCGAGGCCCAGCGAGGCCATTCCAATCGTTATTAAGCTCTTCATGCTTGCAGTCGTCTTCATCGATTGGCACTGAGGTCTGAATACTGGAGAAATGTCGTGAGGTGCTCCCGGCTTTTATCTCCATTGTCTTCGTGTTCCGGTCTTGGCTCGACTCAATCGGGATTACCCAGCAGTATCCACCTTCCTCGTATTGCTGGCATGTCTGTTTAGCTCAGGTTCTTATTGGCCAATTGAGCGGTTCATGCACCTATATCCAGATTCTCAGGCATGGTTTATGTTGCCAACAGCCGTCGACTCCATCTCCCGCCATACTACTGGCATGACGATCGATGATCACTTTATCCCCAACTGACACCTTCCCAAACAGGCCTAACTTACATTAGGCCGAAGTAATCTTGCCTGATCGGGCTTGATTTCGATTGTTTTCTTTACTTCTTGACCCATTGCACAGAAAACTCACCCCGTGATTGAGAATGGAGCTGGTTCATGGTCGAACTTCAGCCACTTATTAGTCTCCGTTGTAGACTGGGGCATGTGAGTTGAGCCAATGCCAACGTCAACAGCAGAGAATACCTATGTAATTTCGTACCACGCTCCGTAAAACATCTTCCCTACCAAATCCTCGACATCTTCTCGTCAAGCCCACAAGGCACCCTATATTGTATTCTTTCCGGTAGGGATGCGTCCCAACAAGGTGGATGTGACGCTGTCCTAATCGCCCTCTGCAACATTAACATCCATGTACGCACTATCAGACTGCTTCCTGCGCCATTGTTCTCATCGAAGACAGATAATGATACATTTTCGGCCTCGGAATTCACCCTTGGCGTCATATATGTAAGGTTTCCGAGATTCAGAGTCTTCAACTCTGAACAAAGTTAGATGGCGGCGCCGGCTGGCAAGTTTTGTGTTGTTTTCGCATTCCAGCTTGCAATTGTTGTGTCCGATGGGGACGCCCCCACACGGACGAGATCAGGTAAGAGGACAAACAACATCCCAGACTTCGTAGACGAGCTTCATCATTATATGATGAGTTGGAGACGAACGCATCGTGTAGCCTACGAGAGTCAGCTGCAATACTGAGGTCGAGCGTTCGGGACTATCAGACTGTGCATGAGAGGACCTGCCGGACCTCCAATAAATTATACAGCGTATTACTGGTAAACGATCCTCCAGATTCCGACCTGGACGATATAACGGATGATAACAAGGACCCCAGCCTTGAGCAGATCGGGTCCTGCCGCGGGTTGTTATTCATAGACCAATCGCTGTATGGACGGCTGGCTCTGCCGCCCCTAGGCGAGATCCTGGTGTGGACCTGCGTGAAGATCATACTCCGGGTGAGCAAGATGCGGAAAGCTCCGCGGAACCCGAAAACACTCTCTCCCGTACCTCGACTTAAAAGCCTGCCTTGCTAGTGGGTGGTTCAAACCTGGGAGGGACTGATGAAGCAGGTGGCCTTTGAACAAGGTTAATATTAACTGACCTTTGGGTTCTCCTCATTCTACTCTTAAGCCGCTCCATCAAGGCGGCAGGATTACCACGTCTTCCACCCAGCACCATGTCCTCACCACCCTCTCTCTCACTTTGTGCTCTCGCGGTGTAGTCTCTGACGAGAAAGACCCCCTCCGCAGACCAAAAACACGCGCGAAGCTACGCTAATATGCTGTATACCCGGGCCCACGTGAGCACAGAAGACCCTCCTCTGCCATTATCCCCGCGCCGTCATCCAGCATCAACCCCCCCCTCCCCTTTCCCTCCTCACAGCTCCTTCTCCAAGACCTCGAACCACAAATCATCCCGCAGCGCCTGGCCGTCCACGAGCTCCCCGTATGGAAACTCCCTCCGCTCCCCGGTCCTCGCGTACCCCCTCCGCCCGTACCAGGCGACCAGCTCCTCCCGCGTCCAGATGACGCACATCTCCATCCGCCGGGCCCCGAGCGTGCCGCGCGCGAACGCCTCGGCGTGCGCGAGCACCGCGCGCCCCACCCCGCCGGCCTGCCGCGCCGGGTCGACGGCGAAGAGGCCAAAGTACGCGACGGCGGGGTCCGTCCCGCTGCGGGCGACCTCGCAGCACGCCAGCGGCGGCGCGGACGAGGCGGCGGCGGCGGCGTCGGCGGCGTCGGTGACGACGAGGACGACGCCCTCGGGCTCGGCGATCTTGGCGAGCAGCCCGGCCTCGTCGATGCGCTTGTCGGCGACGAGGTCGGCCTCGGTGGTCCACCCCCTGCGCGAGGACTCGCCGCGGTAGGCGGAGCGGATGAGCGGCAGGAGGACCGGGACGTCGGCGGGCGTGGCGGGGCGGAAGGATAACCGTTTGGGGGCCGAGACTGTCATTTTTCTTTCTTCTTCTTCTTTTTTTTTCTACGTGTGTGTGGGCGTGTCTATAAGTTTCTGCAGTAACCAATGCTGTTTGTTGCCTGTGTGTGTTCCGGTATGGATGGTGGATGTGTTGGAGCGGTGAGGTGGCACCCAGCCAAATGAGCTGCTTTCCAGGGGTAAAATAAGGTTTTTTTTGTTTCAACACCCCCGAAAGTCTATGATGGGCCGACTTCCAAGGGAGTACGACGTGTTGGACGCAATGTGTAGATGGATATATACAGTAAAGAGGTCTTGGGGACCTGTGCCAGCTCAGCGGAAAGGGCGACGAAGAGAGAGGATATCGTGATATGTGGAAACCCCCTGTCGAGAGCTGCACGAATTAATAATCAATGTACTCCGTAAGTCGCCCTCCCGTCCCTCATAAACATTTTTTTAACACGTTAACAAAAAAGAAAAAGGCTCCGGCCTCGGAACCCCCCCCTCTTCCCTCAGCGATCCACACCGCGTGGGCCATGAACAACGTCTCCCCCGGCGGGCTGCGCAGGGCGAAAAGCAGGGTACATGCCGGCCAGCCTTTGCAACGCCGTTCAAGGCGGGAGAAGGGGGTTAATAGCAACATACACTAGGTAGGTATAGCAGCTGGTTGATAGGGAAGTTTACATGCTTTCCCTTCCCCCCCTCACGTTCGTGACTCGAGATGAGCATCTGCATACCGTGGCACCCCCTCCCGGGATTCACGGCTTCACGACGTGCCAAAGACACCATTATGCGGAACAGAAAGAGATAGCTTGTGACCAATGCCTTGTTCTCGCTCGCTCAAATCAGAAATCAAGGAGGGGGGGAGGCCAGGTAAGAAATGGGTATTCGTTCGACGCGTCAAAGTCTACATCAAGAAGGGGCTGGCTGGCTGGGTATGAGGCTGTGAGTGAGGGGAGGGGGGTATCAATGCAAACGCGCAAACCAAAGACGCAGATGCAGATGCTATATACCATGCCACTTCTAGAATCCTCTTCTTTTTCTTCTTCATCTTCCTCCGCCCGTATTCGTCCCGCCCTACGTCACCTCCCCGTTGTTCCCGGGCAGATCCGTCCGGAGAACCGACCGTCACTTCCTCCCCTTGGGCGGCGACGGCATAATGACCCCCAGCGCGCTGTCCCACACGCTCGCGCTCACCCTGGCCGGGATCTTGCGCCCCCGGAGCCGCTGGTCGATCAGCCACATGCCCACCACGAACTCGGCTTTGCCGAGCATCCCCCTCCGCCCCCGGTCCACGAGGTCCCACACCTCGGCGAGCTCCTCCGCCGGCAGCCGCGACCGGCGCCAGATCTCCCGCGCCACCACGTTGACCACGCAGTCGCCGGCGTCGGCCGGCGACGGGCCCGGCGGATCGAGCAGCAGCCTGCCGCGGTTGCTTGCCCACAAGGCCTCGTACCGCCGACGCTCGCGGGCGGTGATCTCGTCGCGCCACCGCCGCCGCGCCCCCTCGCGGTGCGAGTGCTTGTTGCTCGCCCGCTGGTGCCTCCTCTTGCGGATCTCGTCCTCGTCGTCCGACTTGGACGGCGGCCGCCGCAGCGTCTGCCGCAGGCGCGGCGATCTTGTCCGCTGCTGCTGCTGCTGCTGCGCCGAGTTGCCCGTATTGGAGGGCGTCAGGCGCGCCGCGGCGATGGATCCGGCCATGATGGCGTTTGAGAGCGCGCTCAGTGGCAGGTTTGTGTTGGACGACGCCGGGGTGCGCCGTGGGGTCGTGTGGCTCGGCGAGCTGTTTGCCGAGGAGCGCCCGGGCGTGCTCTGGGCCGAGTATACCGGACGGGGAGAAGGGACCACGAGCGGGGCGTGATGGGGTATGGCTGTCTGGCCGGATTCAGCCGATACAAACGTGTCGTTGGAGGAGCTTGTATCAGCAGTGGAAGGCCGAGCCTCGCCATCGGAGCGACGGAACGGCTCCTGCAAGGGGCCATGGCCATAAACCGTTGCTATACTTCGGGGCTCGTGGAGTGGCGGCGCGTCTGCTTCCCTCGACTTCTCACCCGTGCCCCGCGGTTGGGGAGGTGTCGGGGGCCGCAACTTGGCCCTGGACGCCGGCCTCGTGGGCTTGGGGGAGACGACCTCGGTGTCTGCCCTCTTGATCACCGGCGGCGAGCTGGTGGCGGTCTGCTGAGCCTTGGGCCGCGACCTCCTCGGTTCTGGGGTGGCAGGCGGCAGCGGCTTCGACTCGGAACTCGTGGTCTGCGTGATGGGAACCCGCGTGAGCTGTGACTTTGACCGTATCTCTGGCACCTCCAGAGACATCGGCGTCGTCGCCACGGTAGGCTGTGTCTTCATGGCCGGCGGCAGCTGCTCGGGCTCGGACCGCTTGGGAGAGATCCTCGCCGGCGAGAGCAAGGGCTTGACGGGCTTGACGGGCTTGACGGGCTTGACGGGCTTCGACGCGGGTTTCTTCGCCTGCGGCGTAACCTCCTCTATGGGTTCTCGCCCGTCGACCGCCACAGGCGTTACCGGCCGCGGCTTCGGCTTGGGGACCATGGACCTCTGGGCGCCAGACCCCTCAGTCTCCTCCTCCACAATTCCCATTCTCGAGGCCTTCGCCCTCGACGGGCTGAGGTCCCTATCTGGCGTCAGCGGCCGCACCTGGGGCCTTGCGCTGTCCCCGCCGCTCCGCTTGACGGGGTCGACGTCGTCGGATCCCCTCTCGAACATGGCGAGCAGGTGTCTCGTCGCCGGTATGGAGCTCGTGTCGGGCAGGTCGAGGCTGCTCACGACGCTGGACGACCCGGCGCTGCCGCGCCTGCCCGTCTTGGCGCCGGCGAGGCGGGCGTTCTGCATCTGGTGCAGCTGGTTCAGCTGGGCGGGCGTCAGGGAGGACGGGCTCGCGTGCAGCTGCGGGCTAGGCGAGGCGCTCCGCGACGCGGCCAGGGTGGCGGCGATGTAGCTTGGGCTCTTGGGGTCGAGCCTGGTATGCGGCGTCAGGTGCGAGGGCGTAGGGGTGGCGGCAGCGGGGCTCGAGGCGAGGAAGTTGGACAGACGGTCCCGCATGTCAGCGGTTCCGTCGCGGCCGAAGCGGTCCCTGTCGTCGGGCGTCGTGGCCAGGCTCGTCCCCGTATGCTGGCGTTGTACCGGGCTCGCGCTCGCACTCCGGTCGTGGGCGGAGGCGGCAGAAGCGGCGATGAGGCTCGTCCCGCGACGGCGGCCGGGGGTGGGTTTCGGGGGCGGGACAGGCTTCGGCTTCGTCTTGTTGAAGGCGAGGTTCGCGCCCTTGAGGGCAGCGGCCGCATCGGAGGCACCACGGGCGGCGGCAAGGGAGGAGGAGGAGGAGGGGTGGTTATGGTGGGCGTTCATCATCGTGGCGATGGACGGCCGCGGGGTGTCGTGGTGGGAGAAGGCAGCATCGGAGGGTGCTTTTTCTAGCAAAAAAGGACGGCCCAGGTGGTGATGAATCAATGGATCGTCAACGTTTCGATCATTATGGGAGGAGCTTCGTCATGGGAATTGTGGTCGGTGCGCGCGTGATGGCAAGTCATTCAGGATTGGTTACGTGTTGTCGTCGTGGTGTACGGACAGAGGGCGTTTGTCCGGTGTCGAAAAGTAAAAACAAAAATACATAAATAAAAAAAGGAGGCGGGTGAAGAATGTTCGATGTCTCTCTCGGATCCGGTCGGGATGAGCGGTAGGCAGAAAGAGAGTGTGGGAATGGATCACATTCGCATCCCGGCAGCTGAGCTCCAGCTTCCTGCGGAGATGCGCGCAGGGTGGGGGGAGGGGGGGGGGGGGATGACTTTGGATGGCCGGATGGACGGGGATGAACTTGACAGAGGGAGAATGAGGATGAGAACATTGGTGCAAGATGGAACGAACGGGTGGCTCGTCGACCTGCAGGAAGGGAGCATTCTGCGTAGGGTTCCTCCTCGGAGCACGTTTAGGGCTGAGACACGGCTTATCCCAGCGAGGGAAAGGCCTAAAACATGGCAAACTGAGGTACCGTTACAAGGCGGTCCCCCGTAAGGTCGTACAGGTTACACCCTCACTCACTACCTACACTCGGGTTATCAGTACCAAAAACAGGGCACCCGTTTCCTATGTACCACAACTATCCGTACCGCCAAACTGTATTCTGTTTTCTGTCACCCGAGTCCATATTATGCCTAAATACCTCTAGGTACACACCTACATACCTAACTACAGGCGGTACCAGAGACAGAGGGCCGAGACATAGCTGTGGGGGTGCTGTCTCGGACAAATGACGCATACACACCAAGGAACGTCAGCGAAGATCTCGACATCACCGGCGTCATAATAGCGGAACCCGAGCAACTGGGTAGCTACACAACCTGCCTAGGTAAGTTACTTACCTAGCTTACCTAGGTAGGTATAGGTAGTATTAATCTGCTGTACGTAGTAGGCAGCTCGGCCGTCGCATTTCCCTCATAAACCCCGTGGCGCGCGGCATATCCCTTTCCCTCCCTCCTCCTTGCCCAACTTGCCCTGGAACCTGACAGCTACGCCGCCCGTCCGTCCGTCCATCCATCCATCCATCCATCCGCCTTGCCTCTCTTAGCTCCCGTCCGTTGTCTGCCCACCTTTCCGTCGCCGCCGCCCTTCGTCTTGCATTATTACTGCTGCACCACATACACTTGGCCCGAACCCCGAATTATCGGCACACCGAGAGTCACGTAATCAACAGGTATGAGAATGAGTGATGTATCTGTCCATCATCTCGTTTTCCATTTCCTACACTAGAGAAGAAGCAGCAGAAAAAGAAAATAGACCTCTTATGCTTGATGGCCAGACACACGCAGGGCAAAACAGGCAAAACAGGGGGAAACAACAACTGACAGAAAAAAAAAAAGACCAGGAAGGCGAGGTCCGCTCCGAATCCAGGCCCGGGGCGGCCATCTAGACGCCATGAAGAACCAACAACTCCGATGCCATCCATCCATCCCTTTGCTTCAATTACCAAGGAAAATTTTTACCCGTATAGGGGGGGTGTGTATTTCCGACAAAAAAAAAGTGAACAGTCGTTGGTTGCGGCTGTTGACGATCGGAGAGAGTTTTCAGGTTGGCCATTGACCACAAAACCTCCAAAACGAGGAGAAGAAAAAAAAAGCCTCGCGGCCCACGCCAATCCCATATGCCCGGAGACAAGAACCTGCAAACCTCCGGCATGGTCCTCCGCTCTCACCGTCTCCTCTCAAACATAATCAGCCAAATACTAACGACAAGAGAAGAAGAAGGAAGCCAAGAAGCGTCCGCAGACACCGGGAGATCCTCGACGGCAGCGCTGTTGGAAAAAGAAGAAAAAATAAGAGGAGACGTGTGTCGTGACCGAATGCATCGTTCAGACATGAGAAGCGTAATCATCCGACGTTATCATCAGGTTGAAGAAGATTCAGGACTGGCATAGAACAACACCAAGACGCCAAAAGACGCCGTGCTTCGTTCTTCTTCTTCTTCAGTATCCGTCTTCGTCTGTCCACTCGCTGCCCGAGATGACGCGGTTGCCCTCGCCGTCGCTGTACACATGCCCACCAGGTGCCGTCATCGGGAAAGGCCGCTGTCTCTTGGGATCAATCGCCGGCGGCCGGTACACCCCTTCCAGCTCCATGGGCTTGCCGCGGGCCGCCCGCACCTTGGCGTAGTATGTGTCCGTGACGTCTTGTTCAGGCTCGCTGGCGTCGTCGTACGTTTCCCAGTTCTCCGAGCCCGTCACGTTGCTAGACCCGTTGGACGAGTTGGAGATCTGTCGGGGTGGCGGCGCTTGAGGGTAAGAGGAGGCGGGATATTGGCGTATGGTCGAAGAGTGATATTCGTGTTGGGAAGAACCGGCCGAGTGGTGAGAGCTCTTGGACGCGTAGGACGCGTGTGATGCATGGGAGGCGTGCGAGGCATGCGATGTGTGCGACAAGGTTGAGTTGGCTCTCATGAGAGACGGATGCTGGCAGTCGTCATCATATGGGTCCTCCAGCTCGACCTGCCGCACAATGCTGCCACCCAGTCCCGCCGACTTGTACGGGTTTACGGGTGTCTCGAGCTCCACCGTGTTCAGATCCCGCATCCTTGGAGGGGGAGCACGCATTTGGCCCCCACCGCGGACCGTCGCGTACGCGTCGATCCGAGAGGCCGGCCTCTCCAGCCTGTCGGGAGAGGTGTTGCCGTACTTGAGGTTCGCCAGCGGGGGACGTGCCGGGATTCTCGAAGGGCTGCCCGGCGGTCTGTTGAGAGTCTGCGCCCGCTCTCTGACGGAGCCCATGGCAGAACCCGGGCGGAGTATTTCCTGGCTCTTTGCATGGGCAGAGACGGGCCTGGCCTGGCTTGTGCTGGTCATGCTGTTGTTGGTGTTGGAGCGCTTGATTGAGATGGGTGCAGGCGTAGGAGCCGGCGTCCTGACGCCGTTCCGCGTCGGAGGTCTGGCAAGGCTCGCCGTGCTGTTGGCCCTGGCGTGTCCCTTGGGTCTTGTAGCCGACGCCGGAGTCGCTCCGACGCCGGGCGTCTTGGATCGCGGGCCGGGAACCGGTCTGTCTCCTGCTTCGAGGACATCCAGGTATCGCTCGCCGTGGACGAGGAACGGCCGTCCATAGTCGTCCTCGAAGCGCTCGAGCGTCTTGCGCAGATCGGCGGCGATCTTGGGGAGCTCCTTGGCGATGCGCTTACGCATCTTTTCTTCCCTGAGTAGCTTGCCGGGATCGCGCTTCTCACCCTTTTGTCCTCGCATCATCAGGCGAGAGGCATCCTGGCTGGATGCTGCCAGTTCGTCCCGCTCCTGGGTCAGGCTCTTGTGCTTGTCGATGAGCTCGAGTGTCGGCGCGCGCTGTTCCTTGAGAGCCTCTAGTCTTTGGATCTCGCGCTCGTGGGCCTCGAGAAGGGCGTCGCTGTACACGTCGGAGAATGCGGGGGTAAACTCGAGCATCTCGTCCTCGGAGAGATATAGGGCATCCCACAGCTCCTGCAGCTTGTAGCGCGCATCCTCGACGAACAAGTGCAGGTTTTGTCGCTTCAACTCGTTCAAGCGGTTCAGCTCGTCTTCGAACTCGTTGATTTGCCTCACGCCACAGCCCCGGTTGCTGTTGAGGAAGGCCTTCCTCTCGCCCATGTCCACCTCGAGCTTTTCCCAGAGAGCCTCGACGGCCGTCTTGAGGTCCTTCAGGCGCTTCTCGCGGTTCTTCTTCTCGTCCGACAGCTTGTCGCGTTTGGCCTTGAGTCGGTCGAGGTCTTCCTGGTGCAGGCCCAACTGTTCGGGCGAGTCGCGGTAGTTCTTAACAATGGCGCCGTCTGTCTGGGCTTGAGGAGTGCCCAGCTCGGCCCAGAGCTGGATGATGTTCTCGCACAGGGACTTGACCGTGGCGATGCGGCGGGTGTACTCTTCATACACCCTCGTGAACTCATGGTCGAGCCTGTCCACATAGGAGGGCGATAAATCGAAGTTGGGCGGGATGGACTGGTTCGGGCCGGTGGGGGGCAAGGGAATCTGGACAAAGGTTGCTTCGAGGTGGGAAGAGTATGATTCCAGGGCTTCGACAAGTTCTGAAGAAGCCGTTAGCGGGATGCTCAAATGGTAGGTCGTCATGTCGGGACCGACTCACTCTTGACTTGCTCGAAACGCTCCCTGTGCAAGCGGGCAATCTGCTTATGCTTCTCCCTGAGCGTTTGCAAACAGCGCGTCAGGGGATATGTGATCTGAAGGTCTTCATTGGGGCCACGGCGGGCGCGGCTGTCGTCGAGTGATGTCTCCATTTGTTGAATCGTGGTGATGATGCGCTCGGCTTCCTCAATCATGTCCTCTTTTTCGCTGGTCACGATGTGTACCTGATCGGTGAGGGTCTTGGAAAGGGCCTCGAAGAGCTGTAGAAGAAAGCGGTCAGTGGAGTCAGCGCAAGGGGGGGTGCGGGAGAGGCGTACGGCTTCCTCGCGCTTCTCGCGATCATGGTTGGGAACGCCAATCTCATCAAACAGATCGTGCAGCTGGCCAATAATGGTGTTGACCTGCTGAGACAGGTAACCGGTGTCCATGGTGAATTACGTCGACAAAAGGGAGACCCAGGATAGGGAGACGGACGAAACAAAAAGGTGGGTGGGCTGCTTCGGGAATTTAGGTAGTGTAGTTGGTTGCGATTAATGCAGTGGCGGGGGATTCTCGTAGACTAGGCAGGAAAAAAGAGTGGGTGCAGCGCAAAGGCTGGTTCGGTTATATTGATGCTATTCACAATAGCGGGGAAGCGATGGGAGTTGCTGCGAAAGCGACGGGGGGGGGGCTGTAACCGAGCAAGTCGATTTGTTGTTTACTTTGACTCGGGGTGTATTTGGCAATGGGTAGGCGAGCTCCTTTGTTGGCTGGCCGCTTTGCGACA